ACTGTACGACTGACGGCGCTGTCCTGCGTATCCCGGAACGACGTAAGCGTCACGTACCCGGAGTTGAGCGCGAGCGGGCCTCAGAAGTTGGTGGTTGGGGGATCCGAGGTGGGCAGGAACCTTTCCAACTCTACGCGACTCGTGCTCTCCACCGATTCCTGCTTGGCCTAGGTCTTTTTCCTCGCACCCTTCCGCATGTCGCATGAATTCGTGTAGGGAGGTTCCCACGCGCCTCAGCCCCGCGCAGGGTTAGGGGTCACTGGAGGCTCGCCCGCTCGAAATCGGGTGGCGCCCTCCCCGACAGCCGCTGCCATTTCTGGTGACAACCCATGTGTCGGGCGGGCCCCAACAGCTTCCCGAGAGCTGCAACCAGGCCCACTCCAAACGGCGTGATGAGCAGGTAGGCCGCTTCGCAGGCAGAACTCCTTTCGAGAATGCCAGTTGCTACCAGCCTGGACTCTGCCGGCTCGCGCCCTTTTCCATTCCGTCGGGTCCGCATGCCATCGCATGCCAGCATGTGGTTTGCGGCGATTCCTTCCCTTTTTTTCGGGGCACCAGCAGCGGTGAGGGGAGAGACCAGGGTGGTGTCAACCGCGACCTGGGCACCCCCCCACAGAGGCAGGCCGTTGGCGATCACCTCAATGCGGCTGTCATCCTGACGGACGGGGTCGAGATTGAGATCTCGGACGAGGACGTTGAGGGCAACCGTCGCCCCTGCTTCTCTGCAGACCCGGGCGGCCGCTCGCTCCAGCGGGCCAGCATGTGCGCGCAGGACGCCTGAGCGCGGACACGCAGCGCGGTGATCGCCAAAAGGGTCTTGTTTTGCTTGGCATCGGCATCTGGCAGCCGTGAGGGGCAGGGGGAGGCGGAGCTTGCGCAAAAGGAGCGGCGATGCCAAGGAAAACTCAGGCAAGGTGGGGCGGGCAACGAAAACCCGCGCAGCACGCGGACCGGCTTGCGAGAGCAGCAAGGCAGCGGAGGCCGAATTTGCTTCGCGTCAGTGGGCACGGTGAGCGAAGTCATCGGCCGCCTGGGAAGCGGGGCGCTGCCACCCGCGGGTGAGGTCGAGGGATCCGTCCTCATCGGGCTGGGACGGGGCTTCGCCCTGAAGCAGCTGGATCTGGTCGCCGAGCAGATTTCGGGCAGGTGCTTCAGTTTCTGGAGCAGCTCGCATGGTAGGCGTGCGTGTTGCCGCTTCGACCCGGCAGTTCGCTCGGCCTCGCCAGTGACGACGCATAAACGGTGCTGCGCGCGGAAAGGCATGCATGTGGACATCCGACCCCATTCAAGACCAGCACCTATGGGCCTATGGGAAGAGAAACAGGTCGTGTGTCGCGATCAGAACTGAAAGTGAACATATGTGAACAGAAAACAAATATGCACACGATCAAACATGAGTACCAACGACTGCGACATGAGTCAAACCAACATTTGGGACATCGCTTAACAGCAATAAGGTCAATGTCATGAAATTACTAACATCGAGAACGCACGTTGTGTGAAAGACCGTTCAGGAAAGCGGACAAGCTCGTGCAGCAGGCGCAAAGAGCCCTCGCTCCAGCGGCCGCCGATCTCAGCTCCCAAGACCGAGCTTCTGCGGGCCACCCGCGCCGAGCGCACTGCAACCCGCACAGCTGATGGCGCAGCTGCGCAGGGCTGCGGCTGCCTCGTGCGTGTAAGGCTGAGTAGAAGACCAGAAGGTGGCAATGCAACGGAGGGCGCCTCCCCCAGCGGTGTGGCGCCGTAGATCACGAAATCTAGCCGAAAACCGGGGCCGCTGTGCGAGTAGCCCCGTACGCGCTTTGACCGATCCACCACAACCAGGCACGGGCCCGCAACGGTCCGAGCTGATGGGAAAGGGGAGTGGTTGGCTATGCGGGGACTGCTGTTAGCTGCGTAGTCCAGCTTGCGAGCGCACGAACGCACAAGCACTTGGCGACAACGTTGGCAGAAGCGCGCGTGGCGTGTGTGATTGCCATCCATGTGGCGAGTCGCCCAAGCCCGTGTCCTGCAAGTGAGGGCGAATCAACAACGAAGGAGGGTGCGAGTTGCTACATCCGCACTTCACAGACATGGTGCGCAGTTCGTGGTGATTTCCAAGTCGTCGAGGAAAGCCACGAGACTGTCCATGTGTGGAGACGGCATCGCTGAAAGGGTCCAATGTGAACAGGGCGGGCACCAGCGGGTCCCTTTGCTCGCATCCTTCTCCCTGCGTCACATCCCGGATATTTCGACAGTTCCTGCCCGCACCCCACCAGCAGGACGTGGATGGGCCGCCGTAGAGCAGGCGGACAACGGGCAGGAGTTCGCGGAGTTCCGTCAGGAATACGGGCGAGGGTGTGCAACATTAGGCGGCGAAACACGGAGTGCAGTCAGGTGAGCCGGCCAAGCCCGACACAATGTCGGCGGGCACCTGCGCATTTGCCAGTTTCCGAGATGCGTATGCCAAGAGCTCAAAGCCGCCACGTCCTGGAACAAGAGTTTGAGATGCTCCGCCCGCATGCCAGATAAGCCCGGGGTTCCGCCGCGCTTTGAATCGCGTAACGCCGAAGCAACTGATGTTGGGCCGAGCTGAATGCCCAGGTGCGCCGATATTTCAGCACATCTGATGGCATTCCAATTTTGGAGCTACTTTTACAATCCTTCGGCTTGCCCATCCGCACAACTCCCCAAAACATGTGCGTGGAACAGCGTTAAACTTGGTGATTGCAAAGCCCGGCATCGTGTTTGATGTGAACGATTACCACTGTTCTTGCCCGAGCCGAAACTTGTGTTGCCCCTTACTTGGTAGTGATCTTATTGCTGCCACGGCAACGCTTGCGAAACCATTTGGAAAGCGGACGTGTTTCCAAGGCCACTTCCAGAAAACAACCATCATGGTGGATTGATGCCTGTTTTGCAGCTCTGTTGGAGCGTAACGCCGCTTGGCAAGCGCGAATTCGCAATCGTTCGCAAGTGACCAGTGCCGTTTTCCAAGCTGTCCGCAATCACTTTCACAGGGTGGTCCGGCACGCAAAATAAATTTATTGATCGCGTTGGTTGAATCGTCGGCCGCGTGCTTGCGCAGCAGTTCGCTCCCCACTTCCAGCAGGCATGCATGCCCCATCAATATGGCCTGAGCACGCGTGCTGGCACAGAGGCGGTCAGCCGACTGCCTCGTGCTGCCACGGAGGCATGCCCCCGTGCCACCGTCCTGTCAGTTGACGCCGTCGGCGCCTTTGACCATGTTTCGCGGGGGTCCATCCTCGGAGCCCTGCTTGCCCAGCCGGAGCTGCAGCCATTGCTGCCCTACGCGCGGCAATTCTATGCCACGCCCAGCGTCTACACCTGGCCCGACGATGATGGCTGCGCGCACGACGTTTCTCAGGCCGAGGGCGGCGAGCAGGCGATCCGTTGATGCCTGCGTTTTATTCCCTGGCACAGCATCCTGCGCTTGCCGACCTTCAGAGCCAGCTCCTCGATGGCGAGGCCATCTTCGCGTTCCTTGACGACGTCTACATAGTCGCGGCCCCCGAGCGCGTCCGCGCGCTGTACGACGCCCTTGCAGCCGCCCTGTGGCACCACGCGCGGATCCGACTCCATGAGGGCAAAACGCGCATGTGGAACGCCGCTGGTGAGGAGCCCGGCGGCATCGCAGACCTCAGCGGCGGCGATGGGGTGGCGCCCGTCTGGGTTGGCGACTGGTCTTTCCTGCCGGAACGCCAAGGGCTCACCGTGCTCGGATCCCCCCTCGGGCACGACGCCTTTGTCGCGAGGCACCTCGAGCAGAAACGCGAGGACCACGACCGGCTCATCCAGCGCCACCGAAGCTGTGCAACTCCTGCGCCTCCTCGCGCGACACCGGGCCTCCACAGTCCCAGCGCAGTTGAGGCCCTCTGCCATCGTCTGGGCTCCTGGCAGTCGCATCCCAGCGCGCCTACGCCGCCTCGCTCCTCGAGTTGCCGCCTGCCGCTGAGCTCGGCGAGGGACCCCTGCCAGAGCTACATGAGGTCCTGGCAGACTCGAGGGGTGACGCGTGACCACCCGTAGGCCGCCACTAGACTCACGCCGACGGATGCTTGACTTCTTGCTTGGTCGAAAAAAAATTCAAATTGAGCATTTCACATTGGTCAATCCACGTGTTGCTGCGCGTTGGGTGCGCCGTCGTTGCCGCCACACTCGTTGCACGGTAGCTTCCAGACTGGGTCTGGGTTCCTTTGCTAGCGCGGCTGCGATGGCATGCCATACGGGTTTCTGACACACTATTTTCCGCAGGTCGTCCCAAGTCCCGGTCCCTGTACAGGCCTATGCGTCTGCTCACGCTGCTCGCCACGCGAGCGGGAGCAGCAGTCCAGCGTGAATCCGCAAGGTGCAGCTCGGGTTCATCCACGTGCAGCGGCAGCTTCAGCAACGACATTGCAGAGATCGCCGCGACGGACAGAATGCCACTCCAGCGCTGCACCCAGGAACCGCATGCGGTGGCGCGTAGGGCCGCAGGCGCGGGCTGCCTCGAGCCGCCGACCTCGACACCGAACACAACAAGGCGGCATCGGCGTGCCCTTTCCCAATTCAGGGTAGGTGTGGCGGCGCTTGCGCTGGGCGGCTTGGTCGAGGGCCAGAGCCGGTCGGGTATCGATGCTACCTTGCGTGGTGCGCCTTGGGATGCCTTGGGTTTTCTTCGGCCGCGGTCGTGTGGCCAGCAGCACCGTTGAGGTGCTCGGCAGCTGCGCGGCCACGGGAGTTTTCGTTTTTTGGACGTGCTGACGCCGCTGGCGTGAGTCACGGGCAAAGACAAACATACATCACGCCATTCACGCCCATGTTTCAACCAGAGTTCCAAATGATGATTGCTTGAGTACGCAACATGTGTGTTTGTTCGACACGTTCATCAAGACAGCATGGGCAACCAAAGTTGGGTGTCAGTTAGTGGCGTTGACATGATTATACTTAATGATAATAGCTTGAGTGCACAGCACCGGGTCTTTGGAAGTGCCACGGTGATTTAGCACAGTGGCGGTAACATGGACGCTAACACCGCAATCGGGGCGGCAGTGCCGTGGCGTCAACGATGCACTTTTGTAACATGTCATGCTATTGTTTGGGGAGTTTTCGTGAAGCCATGTCCCAAGTTCCTTCCAAGTGAGATGTGAGGTTGCAGCGGGTGGGTTCGCTGGATATGCTGCCAAAGGGAGTGTGCCGTCACTAGTGGCTGGTGGAACAAGTGGCTTAGCGCTCATCGCATGTGGGCAAACCGGGCGGTTCAAGGCTGCGGCCGCAATATGCGCGCCTCGGCTGCAAGATGCCTGAAAATGTTTAGTTTTAGCAGGATAGCCCAACGCACATTTTTCCTTTTGCATCTGCACTTGCCTTGCTTGGGTTGGTTGACACTATGCCAGGCCATGTTGATGATGATCATGGGCATGCGCTTGGTGAAAACGAAGAAAGCCATGCCAGCTGGGCTGGTTGCGGCCTTGAGTGCCGCAGGGCTATGCTTCAACGTGTTGAAGATTCAGAAGTAGCCTCGAGATCTTTGAGTACCCTGACTGCCTGCAATTGAGTCGTGGAAAAATGCGGCGACATGGTGGGTGATGGGCATCTGCACCACTTTGTTGAAAATGTGACACCCTGGGCCCCGGGACGCGCAGTTTGCGCTGTTCATGTATTCCGCGGGCCTTTTTTTCTGCAGAACAGATAGGTTTACCACTTTCATTTGAAGCTTGCACGTTCGTGTCGGAACATGCCGTAGGCCAGAAGGAGTGGATCATCCAAGACAATTGGACAGCTGTTTCGGTGCATGTTGGCATCCAGATGGTGCAGTGGAAAGGCCCCAAGTTCCAGTCAGCCGGTGCAGCCGGTGATTGATGTGTCGTGATGTGTCGTGTTTAACCACATGGTCTGCGTGTCACGTGATATGGTGTGAGTGCAGTGTGTTTCTTTGGCAGCGGCAGGTTGCTAGTTGCAAATGTCGGTGCCATGCTCAGCGATAGTTTTTGTTGCTGTTGCTGTTGCCGTTGCCGTTGCCATTGCTGTTGCAGCTGCCGTTGCCTCTTGAACTTCTTCAGGTGCAACAGCAGTATCGCGCTGGAAGTGCAGCCGTGCGCCGTACCAGTGCCACCGGCCCTCCCAGAGGCCGGCTTTGATGGGCTTGGAGTGTGGTTCGCGCTGGACATTCTTCCCCCCCAGAAGTTATCAGGTGGCCCGCTTATCCGACAGGGTTATCCGCATTCTCGGGCGGAATCCCAGGCCAGGGAGCGGAGCACAATCCATGCAACGGTTTTTCGATCATTTGCCATGTCTTGCGCAAGTTCGTTCACGCTGACGGGGACAAACTTGTATCTCGCTGGCTCCTGAGAGTGCCGGTGAAGAGACAACGTAAAGGATGAACAAAAAGGATCAGGCCACGACGGTTTGAAGGATGCATGGCAGAGTGAGTGGCTTTCGCCTGCCCCGGGGATCGTTGACTGAGGTGGGGACTGGAAGCAGCCGGATCCTTGTCGATGCGGGCGAGGGAAAACCCGGAGTGTTGCAGGACCGCACCTCAGGTTGGTGCATGCGTGTGTTGGCATGGTGCAGTGGTAGTCTCCTTGTAGGCAAGCATCTTGACGGCGTCCGAAAATGATGCACACGTGCCAGGACTTGCTGAAAACAATGGCTGAGCAAGGCTGCCACAATATTTCACAAATCGTGTTTTTCTCAGCATGTCTCGGTCATGAAGTTAGTCGATTGTTTGTCTTGCAATCCCCAGGTCGTAACGCATTGGCACATCGACCATTTGCTTGGGGTTCCTGCCTCGGGCGTTTGGGACACCGATTACATGCTGCTGTTCGAGTAGTCCGACACATTAGATCTCGTGGCAACTCTTTGCACCAGTGGGGGGTCGAATTTGTAGCTGTGGGAGAATACGCACATGTGCAAATACAAACGCAGAAGTGCTGACGGCTAGCATAGCCTCACGCTCAAGCGGTGCACGATTGCTTCTTGCGCTGGGAGAGACCTGTCCGACTCCCTACCAGGCTAGGGTGCATGGGGATCCTTGCAGGCCTCTATGGTGCTGCGAGCAAAAATTCCTGTGTTGCAAACCCATGTGCGGATTCGAGATGTGGCTATGGGGCTGCTGTCGAACGCTTCTCTGTAAGGTTCGTGCCCATCTCTGCTGCGCCTTCCGCAATGTACCGCAATGCAAACCAAGGTGCCAGAGCTTTTGGCATGCTTCGGCTCAGAGGTCCAGGTGCGCAAGTACATGCCCAGTGAGGTGGGGATCAGTCTTCTGGACTTAATTAAATTCATCGCCAGCTTTGGCGATGTTTTCTTCCTTTAAATAGCTAGTTGTGTGATGAGGGCACATCGACCGGCGAGCTCGACAACGCGGAGGGCGAGTGGAGTCCCACAGAATTCTTGCAGGGTGCCTGGACAGCGGGGATGTCTGGGGTATGCTACGGGCGCAATTGGAGTTTGCCAGCCATCCTGGCCTGAAGTAGCAGCCAGTGTTGCAATGCTTCCCTGCCCTTGGTTCCCAGCAGCGGGAAAAGAGCATCTGTTGTTGCAGAATTTCTGGCAACCTTTGATAGGTGCATTGATTTCAGAACCTCACAAAGTTGTTACGTGCTGTTAGCTTGTGCTTCGCTTAGCATTGGCTTCTTTTGGACATGTACGATGGATCGACAAGCGTGCCTGCCACGGGTCCCGCGTGGCCTGAGCACAGCGCTGCATACGCCGCAGGCGCGAATTTGTCGCGAATAGAACTGACCTATGCAATGTCAGACGACCGTAGCGCCCCAGAACCACCACAGGTATGACGCCAGGTGTCCACTTTGGACCCAACCCATCTGCCTGCCATTCTCGCGTCATCGGTCAGGTAGTGAACATGAAGATTGGCAATCTTGGTGGCCGAACAAAGCATGGGATCCAAATGCTGGCGGTTCATGGCAGGCTGTCGGCTTAGTTGTTGCGGTGGCATCTTCCACGATCAGTCTTTTTTCAGTTTTATTGTGTAGCGCGTGTGGACCAAGAGGCAGAGGCGGATTGGTACCTTTGGTCGAACAATGGACAGAATGCCGCGGAGCAGTTCGCAGACACTTTGAGAACTAAACTGCCTTTGGTTCAGGCGACAGGTGTATGAGCTGTTAGCGGCGCGCGGACGCTTATGAAGAATCCATGGCTTTAGGGCATGTGTGAACATGATGAGATCTGCAAGGAGATTCACCCCGCGGACCAGGTCAAAAGGGACCCTTGCATGCCAATATTCTGCAGGGACTGTGGTGTGACGGCGTGAAGGGGTGCAGGCACGTTCTCACATTTCGCGCTGACATGCCTGAGGAGGGAACGGAGGTCGTCGCACTCAGCCTTCTGAAGCAGCTTCAGCAAGATGAGGAGGGAGGCAACGTCCAGGCGACGAGCGCAAAGTGCAGCACACAGATGCGGGTGGCCCGAAAGTAAAGTGGTTTTTGTGTACATGTAGGTACACACGTGTTCATCCATATATACCTATATGTATATATATATACACAAATCATAAACAATATGGTACCCCCCCCCCCCCCGAATCTGTGTAGCTAGCACGTGTGATGCTACGGTGATGGTTGCTGGTTGACACATGAGGGAATGAGAACAACACAGCATTCACATGCGAAGGAAGTGTTTTCGGGCGAGTCTGTGTCAGGAGTCCTGAGCGACTGTCATGACCTGAATGTTGTCATAGGCCCTGCTTTGCAGGTGTCATCGGCGGATAAGGCTCTGGCCGGGCAGATGGAGTCGGCGGTGGTGCCACTCCCAGTTCGGGCCGAGGGTTGGGGGTGGATTCAGCTACAGACCTCTCCAGCAGATTCCATCCTCGCCACCCAGGCCGCTTTTTTGGCAGGGGAAAACTTCGACGAGGAGGAAAGCGAGGATGAGCAACTGGAAGCTGAAAGGACCCCATTCATAAGTGGGGCGGACCGTAACTCTCACCGACGCATTCGCATGCGTCGTTTGGTTGACAGGATAGAGCAGGAGGAGTTGGAGCTTACAGCCCTGCGCCCGGCATCTTTGAAAGGCTTCAGAACACTCCTTCTGCCAGAAAAACGCCTTTTGCAAAACCTTTTCAACCCCAAGCTTTGAGCCGTGAAGCCCTTTTAAACAGCCTTAGAGGTCCTGAGCATGCCTCAGCAACTCCAAGCCCAGGCTGGGACAGATGGGAAGCTTTCAGCAGAAGCTCTGCCATTTGTGCCTCGTTTCGAAGACTCACGTCTCACGTCCGGAACCATCGTGCTTTCGGTTTGGTGCAGTGGTCTTCGAGGTTGCTGGCCTAGGTGTCGGGAGTCTAGGGATGTGACTGTGGCGTGTAGTGTGGGCTGAGTCGGCTCATGGCTTCCATTTTTGAAGACCTTCACCGTTTGGGTCTTATTCGTTCTTGCAGATCCAGCCGACGCAACTGCAACTCATGTTGATGCCTGTCTGGGTTGATTGCCGGGCCTGTTTGGAGTGATAGGGTCCTAGAAAGTTCGAAGTATTTCTTGGAAAGTCGTTGTTGGGTTCGTTTGTTTTTGGTTCTGCGGGGCGAATGGCTCCCTGCGACTCATGTAGCCCCAACAGAAAGGTCAAGCGCTGGGTTCCCTTATGCGCCCCCCCCCCCCTCAGGTGCCGCTGCCATTCGGCAACTTTGATGTGAACACCTCAGCCTGGTGGAGTTGGCACAACCCAGACGTCTTCGTCATCACGAGTCACTTGGGATGTTCCCCCTTATACTAACAGTCCCTGATAGGGATGAAACTCCTATTCAGGACTGTTAGTATAAGGGGCAACATCCCAACGAGTCACCATTTAGTTCAGATCAAGCGAACCAACCCAGGCCTTCGGGCAGCCTTTGCCAGACATTGCCGAGGAGGATGAGACGTTGCACGTCCCCTGAGCATCAGCTGCAACTGTAGGACGTCTGCTGTGTGTGTTGCTACTGATGTCGCTCATTGCCCGCTCCTCCAAAGTCCTTGGGGCCTGTTGCGCTCGCATTTTGCTGTGCAAGCTCTCCTGAGTCTTCTGTTCGGTTGCAAGGCGAGTACCTGCAAGCCACCCTAGAAGACGTGGGGCTGAGCAATACGATTCTTCGTGTTGCAAGTGAGCGCCTTGACCAAAGACTCACAAAATCGGAGCAAGGTGGGTCATCCCTCTGATTCGCCTTTGATACGAGCAAAACACGATACAGACATATGTGTATAAATAAGTACAGATATGAATAGATAGATAGATATATATATATATGTATACATATGTGTATGTGTGTGCACATGGTGCATGTAGAGTCACTGGCTTTGGCATGCTAGTGTGGCCCGGTCACAAGCTGTGCATGCGACTTGCACGGCTTCAGTTGCTTGATATGTAACACCAGTGTGAAGTGAGGCTGAGGCATCCAGAGTTTGGATGTAGCGAGGGCTGGCTTTTTCAGCGTCTCGAACTCATGCTTAGGAGTGAAGTGGAGAAGTTCATTGACTACGTTGGCATGCGAACATTGCCGGCCTCACTGACGGAGTCAGAGGACGTGACCACTGAATCGTATCTAAGGCCTGATGAGCGAGAGATGCTTCTTGCCAGGAGACGTTTGATCTTTTCTACCAAGAGCTTCGAAGCACATTGGCAAGCCGGAACCTCAGATGATTGGACCGGTGTATTGCACAAAGCTGCAAAATCTCAATGTGCAGCGGTGTTCGGCGCAACAGTCCCATATCAAACGTCGCAGGTTGCTACCTCGATCGCGTGTGTCCAACGCTGCAGGAGGCGAAAACACTCAAATCCTAAACGCTAAACCCTGAACACTAGACTGTCAGTTTGCTTTTGGGTCCGTGGATGGAATCAAACTCTGCAGGTTGAGCGTCGATTCAAGGCGCATTTGCCACCTTCGAGCCCTTCTGAGCTGGATGTGGCGTTGGTGCTTCCCATGTTTGCGCGTAAGGTCCCGGACACGATCCTTGCCTGAATCTTCAGAATACTTGTCATGACTCAACGTGTAGGCGTTGTATCAGTGTTCTCTGGGCAACCGTCACCACGACTGGGGTCACCATCGTTCCTGAGTTCTTCCCGATTCTTCTGTATCTCTTTTTGGGGCGACCACTGCTGGCAGTATTGTTTGCTTGGCTCGGGCTTGGGGCTGAGTAAGATGACAAATCGGGCGCATTTAATCTGACAACGTGCCAGGTCTGAAAACACAGAGAGAATGCAATTCATCACGGGTTTAACACAACATGCCATTTATGTTTTGCTGATTCGGAGGTGCAAGGCATGCGTGTTTTGGGGTTCATTCTGGCAGTCTGGCAACGGAAAGATTCCTCGTGTGTCGTGACTTGGCTGAAGCACATAGATTGCGGCTGAGTGCAGGTATCACATCCTCCCAGCAGATGGACGTGGGCGTCCCATCATGATATTCTTCTCAGAGGCTGGGCGTGTTCGAAAGCACTACCTCTTTAGCCAGCTCATCACGGATGTTTTTGACGAATGTTGGCGATGGGGTGAAGCCCTCGTGTGTTCTGAAAACCCGGAGGATGGCCCGGACCTCCCCTGTGTTGCATGAACCCTGAATTCTAAACCGCAAAACCCCCCAGAGGCCCTCAAATACCCCGAATCCCCCAAATCCTGTTTCAACTACTGGTCGCATCAAGGCGCCTTCTGGCTTCAAGGGTTTCCTTGATGTGGATTGCTCGCTGCCAGGCCTGGTGTGCGGCTTCAATCGATGTGTGCTGTAGCTGTGAATGTCCATACGGGTGTTTCAGCCAGTGCTGATTTGAGAGGCGATGGGGACTTCTCACAAGAATCTTGGGACCAGCTTGACAAGGCCCTGACGGCGCTTTGGCCAGCTGTGTTGGCTTGTGATCCTGCTAGGAGGTCGCGGGGGTTTGTACATCGAGGTTGTGCTATGCGAACTGCGTATGATGGATTGACACCGTATCCAAGGAGTCCTTCCGGATGTCCTGCGACTTTCGCAATGCCGCCTTTGACGTGCGCTCGAAGGTGCCTTGTCACAGATCCACATAAGAGCATGTTCCTGCACCCTGAGTGGACGATGTGGACGTTCCCGCTTCAACGCAAAATTGCCTCCGCTGCATCGATGTGCCCTTACACAGCCCCATGCCGAGGTGGAGCACTTCCAGGACTGGCCGCTAGCAGAGGCGTTGATGTGAATATGTGACTGCATGTGACTGCATGTGACTGCATGTGACTGCATGTGATGTGCATGATGCATGATGTGCATGGATCCTATGGGATGACTCCGCTGGCTTTCCACCAGGTGGAACTGCTCCTCCACGCAGCGGTGGGAAACAACAAGCTGGCTGCTTGGGAGGACTACTCGCGCAAGTTCGATTCACGACCCCTTGGCGGGTTTTGGCTTGTTTCATTCCATGATGGACGCTTGGCGACCTTTCTGTGCTTGCCAGGACTATCTGAGACCGGCCAAGCACGTTGAGTCACTGATCTCGGAGCGGGATGCCAAGCAGTTCGCAGGCTTCAAACTGTGGGGGGCGAGATGCCATGATGGCCATGCTACTAATATTCCCACCCTCCTGAAGTTCCAAGCTTTTGAAAGCCTCCTCCCGGAGGAACACTGGGTCGGAGAAAGAAGCTGGACAGCTGGACTCACCCGCAAAGGTGCCTTTCTGCACAGATATGGGCAGGCATGAAGCATCATGTGCACCATGAGATGGCCACACTGCCCCCATCCACAATATGATTGCCACTTCTTAGCTCTTCTGCTTTGTCGTTGAAAGGTAAGGAGGGTTGGGTTGCCGTGCCGCTTGCGGCGCGCGGCTGCTCCCGGGGCGCTCGGCACACAACTTGCGTCAAGACTATCCTCCTTCCTGGGCGCGGGCTTGCCTGTGGATTTCGAGGGTCGCGGTTTTCATAACTTGACAAATCGCGCTCTCGCCCATGTCCTAGTGGGGCTCCACTTTGGTCCTGTGCCAGTACATTCCCGCCTCTCGAACTCCTGGACGGCTTTGCTTTGTGCACCCGTTGTTGCGAGATGTGGCCCGTGGCGGTGTGCGATATCGGGCTCTCGCCTTCGGTCCCGCGCGCATGCTCCCTCCGAAGTGCAAAACCGCCGCTGCAATGGGCTCCCGCCTCTGTTCCGTCGCCATGGTCTTCCACTCTGCAGCCTACCGTCGCAGAACTTGCTCATGGTGCAGTCAAATATTGTTGCTATTGTACTTCTCGCTCATCATAAACCAGAACATGAATGGCTGCAGCATATCGCGAGTACAAAGTGTCGAAGTCTCAATCGGGGCTGAACATTGAGCCTGACGCAGGGGACCTCATGGCTACCCCAAGTCCAGGGAATGGGAGTACCACCACTACGGGCAGGACAAGGACCGGGGCATACCGGGGCTCATTTTCCCAGCCTTCAGCCTCTACAGGGCTTAGACACAAGGTGTATTCGGGGTTTGGGATGTGGGGTGTTCGGCTTACAAGCCCTTTGCTGTGCGCTCTTCTCCAGCATGTAATCACAGCTCGCTTTCGTTCTCCTGATGGGCCCTTGCAAGGACAGCCTGCACATGGCTCAGCCGGGACACCCTGACCGAGATCAGCATTGGCCCTCCTTGGGTCCCGTCGTCAGGCTCGTGGCACCAAACCACTCCCAAACACGAACCTTAGACTCTTCGACCCGCACAGAACTAGAAACCCAGCATTCTCACTAGTTCGCCATTTGCCCGAAGGTCACAGCCCAACCAGGAGAGAAGGCCTACCTGCTGCACGTGCTGCTTTCAGCCGGGCTGTGGGCGCATGAAGATTGGTTTGACTCTTGAGCTGAGAGTAGGAAGGGATTGCTCGCAGATCTTTCTGCACCAGTGCCAGGCAGCTCAATCTGGCTCAGCAGCTTTATGGATTTCAGAATGACAATGCACCCGTCAGAGCGGAAAGCGTGCGCAGAGCGGAAAGCGTGCGCAGCCTCTCAGCCGAGCTATTGAGTGTGTGGGGCAGGCATGTGCGTTGTGCGCCTTGTATTGTGTGCACGGCGAGAGTGGGCTTGTCGAAGCCTGTACGAGGCAATCGCAGCAGCAGCAGCAACGAATCAAAGTACCGGTATCCAGCACCACCGGTTGAAATTCCAGAGGATGCCGTTTCTTTCAGTGGGAACTGGGCACTTTTGTGGTGGGTGCAACCTGGGGCAGTTGATAGCTTTGAGGGCAATATCTTCAGATGCAGGAGTTGAAGCCCTGTGGCTCTGCGGTGTGTGCTAAGGTTCTCCCGTTTTGCGAATAATAGACACTGCGCGGAGTGTTTGTGCTGTGTTGTATGGGGACGCTCGAATTGAGAGGCTTCAAGGGGTTCCTTTCAGGGAAAAGGCTTGCTTTCTTGCTGAGTCTTGTTTTGCTGAGAGCTTGGAGGATTGGAAGAACACTTAGTTGACTTGGACCCTTCGCCAACCAAGATGGAAGCAGTGTTCGCTAGAGTCGCTAGAGGATCACCAGTGCTGCCATGTGCTGCCTGCGTCGTTCACCATGAGAAGCACACCGGCACGGGCCGACAACATTCATGGCAGGTCTAAATCTGGAAACTTCGGCGAATAACGAGATAGTAGAGACATCTGTTGCCAGGAGTGAATGAGGCACGTCCAAGATACAAGGGGCCAAAGCACCCGAGGCTCATTCCTGGCCCTCCGTGCAGTGAAGGCTTAAGGCTAAAAGATTCCAAAGCTCTGCCACCCAAGCATCATTCACGGAAATTTACGTGTTTCCTGCGCTGTTTCCTGATTCATGCCCGTGCTGCTTTCTGACTCGGTCCCTACCCATGATGGACTTGGGTTTCCTTACTTACCGACTAGTTCCTTCATTGTTTCCGATCTGGGTTCGCTGACTGCAGCTGTCAGTACCATCCCAAAGATGCTGCCATGAACACAGGAGGCACGCCTACAAGTGGAGACGCTTGTGCGACTTGCCTTGAACGTGGCGCAATCTTCAAGAGATTGAAGGAAGAAAACAAACGTCGCACACAAACCAATCCGAAGCGCCTTCCAAGAGTTCCTTTGCCAAGTGAGTTGACATGAGCTGGCACGCACGTCATTGGCGCTGGCTGAGGACAGCCTGTCCCGACGGCCTTCGTTACACCCAGCTCAAGCAGGTTCTCGAAGCCTTTGGCAAAGCAGGCCCGAGCCACGAGAAGCTTGGCAAAGTGGAGGTGCTGTTATCAATTGTTTCAAAAACGCTTCTTTTAATTCATCTAGGGTTAGATATCTTCTTTCAGGACACGTCTTGCTGTGTTTGTGGCCCGAACTTCGAGCCTCCACATTGCATATGCTTCGTGAAAAGCCAGCAGCACCACTGTCTACAGTGTGGCCACACCAATCCATGTTTCATAGCCTACCGGCCAGAATCAGAATAAGACGGTAGGGCCTTGGTATAAAAGCCTTCACCGAGCGGAGTTAGTCCGAAATTTGCATCATGAGCGTGGTGAGAGACATAATGCATTTAGTTGTTTATCTTCCGAGACTTGAGAAACGATACCCTTCCAGTCAAGCCGTCCTGGTGGTTTTGTGGATGGATCACAATGAGCGCCATGGAACATGCCTTGGTTTCGTTGTCCTCTTCATTGGATGCCGTGGATCACGCCGACATTGATGATTGTGAGACAGAGCTCGTCCTGCACCGTCTGATGCTCAGAGATGCGTGCCGCATTCATTCTCCGCGCGGCAAACGCGAAAGGGATGTGGATTAATTATCTGGCTGTGTAGGCATGAATGCTCGCCTGAGGCAGCCAGCCATCTCAGCCCAATTGTGCCGCTCTCCTGCATTTTTCTGGTCGTATGCTCTGAGATTCGTCTGGGGTCAGGTGTTGTTGTTTTCCTAGGTCCTAGGTCTGTCTCTCTTTCCCTTTTCTTGGGTCTGGCAAGGCTGGTTTGGTCCTATAGTCCCTTTGGTCCGGTGCCGTCCTGGTCCTGTGATCCCCTCGTGCGCCCCCTTCCTGCTTTCTTTAGACTTAAGATCTTTAAACGTCTGACTCCTTTCCGAACCCGTCATGCCTATCATGCGTTTGCAAATAGAGGGGGTTGCGTATGTTTGAACATACGAATCCTTTCCAAACACGTCATGCCTGTCATGTGTTTGCAAAGTCGTGCAAACTGCAACCTTGCCTTTTCAGGAAGATCACATCCTGCAACAACTTGTTGGCAGCCAAGTACCGGCAAGAATTCTGTAATTGCTGGGATGTGGAGCACTTTCAAGCTGGCCAACGTTCACAAACAGTGTGATTTGCCATTTTCGACCTTGGAAAAAAAGGGGAGAGCCAGAACTAGGAACAAAAACGCTCATCTCCGCCGACTCATCTGCTGCAGTTTTTTTGCCGCATTTCCTTGCAATAAGTGCGTGAGCTGGGCCCGCACTGCAGGAGCAGCTCGTGAAGGCTTCATCACCTCCGGTTAGCGTGCTTCTCATGGGCGATGACGACATGGCCCCGTCGAAGCTTGGCAGCCACAAATGGAAGATCTTTTTCTTTTTTTTGGAATAGATACATGACTGATAATTACATGTGACAGCGAAAGCTGTCAGCGATGGCGGTAGCTGGCCAAGGACTTTTCAGCTTCCTTCCGAAGTGTTGGTGGTGCTCACTCACACGCGCATCCATTTCAAGCTTTGCTGCGAGTTAGATCTCAAAGCAGTCTCCTCTTCTGAATTTGGAGCTTGTTTTTTTTGGTTGTTCTTCAGTGAGGCATGTCATGCACGGCCCGGCATATGAGCACAGAGCCGTCACAGAGCCGTTGCAGAGCCGCCAAGGTCTCTTGCAAGCTGCGCAACGCTGAGTATAACCCGCGCAAAGACACGAAAAGGCTGTTTCTTAGGCTCTTCCGTCCGGCCGCTTCTGCTCACGTATGGAGCACGGGAGCTGTAAACTGCTCTGTTAAGGCCGGGTGCACTCGGTCATGTCGCTTATGCCTGCTTTGACCCAGTCTAAGCAAGGGACACGTCACGTAAGGGGCCGCAAAGGCACCAAAATCTAAAAAAACTGCTGTTCTCTTGTGCTGGTTTGCAGCTCCCTGACCAGGGCACAGAGGAGGATGCCAAGCAAGCTGCGAGGCGACTAACTCGCATGATCCAGCTACTTGGTTGCAACTGTAACTGGGCACATGGGCTTAGCCTCTGGATTGCATGGGATTCCTACGGTGTTTAATGTCAGGGGTAAAAGGTCTAAAATGTTCCCCTCTCCCGTGCGCTTGCTCGCAGCTTGTTCGCTGTGTTGGGACTCGCTCGTTTCCTCGTTTCTGTGTATGATATTGCGGATGAGGTTCTACTTTGCTATGCATTCCTCATGAAAGTCCGTCACGGGTCTGTGCACATCCAGAATGTTGCCTTCTTAAGGTCCTAAGTTAAGTCGGCCTGTGCACTGTGGCTGAGGAAATGTGGCTATCCCGCACGCTGTGAGAAGTTTCGCCTGATGGGCCAAGCCGTTGTGGCAGAGCTTTGCTTTCCCGTTCGCTTGGAGGCGTTGGCCCAGAAGTGGCACCGCCATGTCCTCTACGAGCCAGAGGTTTGTGCTCATGCGCAGTTTTACCTGGAGCGCCCTCGCTGCTGTGTATCAGTGGCCTGTAGTGGTAAGGTTAGTGTGTTTGATGCTGCAACCTTTGAGGATGGCAGAGAGGCGATTCGGAAGGTCTACTCTGTTTTCCGAGAGTTCTCACATTGAAGCGAGCATCCGACGAGAGCAAAGGCAGCTCAGGCGTTGACATGCGCATGCCCGACAGCCGAAAAGCCTTCATGGCTTTGTGCAGTTTCAGTCTCCATGGGTTCCCTTCCTACCTCCCTCAAAACTACCCGCCCCTAGGTTCCCCCCCATCATGAAGGCTACTGTTGTTGGTCTGTGTTTCCGAGGATCGTCGACCAGGTCTTGAACCAGCAGAGTGGGGCACCCCCGGGCCTGGAGGAGCCACCGCCGGGGCTGCAGAAGCCGCCGCCAGGCCTGCAGGAGCCGCCAGGGTTGGAGTTGGAGCAGCCGCCGCCGGGGCTGGAGCTGCCGCAGGACCTGAACTTGAAAAGCGAAAAGCAAAAAGCATAAATATACGTAAAGAAGTATACATATATTTTTGGAATCGAATAGAATAGACTAGACTAGAATAGAATATCAAAGTGAAAAATATGATCTCTCTATATATACATATATGTGCACATATGTATCATATACATGTATATGTTTCTATATCTATCTATGTATATATATATATATAGAATTTATATATAATCTCTCTAGATTTAGACAAAGATATAGATATAGATATGCATATATGTATCATATATATATATGTTGCTATATTAAATAAATAAATAAATAAATATATATATATATATATATATTCTACACACATGATGAAATTGATGACGAGAATGTGGCACGGCCTTCATGTAGAGTTGCTCTCCCCATCTCAGGACGCGAATGCTTTGGTTTTTCAGTGAGAGCTGGCCCTCCTCCTTTGAATCGGCGGTCGCACGCCTTACCCGAAACCACCCATGTTGGTCCTGGAGCTGAGACGGCATGGGGACAGTTTAAATGGCTCAGAGCAGAGGGTATCCCTTCTGCTGTCAATCCCTGGGCTGTTGTACACACAGAGCAGCAACCTCACCTGCCATGCAGTAGAGGTGCAAAAGACTGAAAGATGCCCATGCGGGGCTTGTCTTGCCTTTTTGTAGCTTGCAGGAAATTACGGCGGTGCCTGAACCGCAACTCAGGAGGGCTGGTTCATGCCGCAATGCAGGGTGATCCGCTCTCAAAGCAGACAGGCTCGAGCTTCCGAAAGCAAAAAAAAAGCTCAGGCGCCATTGCAGGGCTTGTGCCTCTAAAGTGCGGATTGCAGCTTTGGAAAGATGCGAGCATGTCTATGGCCATGTCATTGACTACGTTCAAGGGACTTTGGTGACTGAAGGTAGTTGCGACGAGCTTTGGGTCCCTTGGAGGGAGGAGCGTGTTCTCGTTTATGCGCCTTCTCGCACGTACCCGAGGTCGAACATTCCGGTCGTTGAGCTTGCAGCGGCCTGACTCCATAGTATCGTTATCACAAAATGCAGAGATTTGGTGTTTGCTGAGGCCAAGCCCCTGATCACGTGTGTAGCTGCTGTGTGTCCCAATGATCGAAAGCTGTTTTGGGCGAAAGGGGTCATGTTAGAATTCGTTTAGTATCGTTGTCGAACGCAGCTTGGAATGCAGCTTTCAATACATAGTTACGGCGGTTTCTCGAAACCGGCTGGTTCGTTGGGTTTCTGAAGTTTACGTGGCTTCTGCATCGGTTGCATGGCTTTCGCGCTTCTATGGTTTCTTTGGTTTCCTTAGCTTCTGTGGCTTGTATCTCTGCTATGGCCTCGGAGGCCAGTATTCCATTTGTTGTTAAGGCGTAATGGGCGGCTCCATGGGGTTGAGCTTGCCCCAAGCTGGTGGTTCTTCAGTCCCCAGACCCCGGCGCCCTCAACCTCCTTCCACCGCGTCAGCCAAGCTTGAGCAAGTTACTGTAGGCCAAACCATGCCCCTTCCAGAGCCAAGCCAACCCTGCTGAAGCCCTGATTTGCGGATCTCGCCCCGCAAGCCCGGGGACTCCAATTCAGCAACTGACATGCTTGCGGTGTCTAATTGAGAATGCCGGTTCATATTTGTGACAGAGCCGCGCGAGGAGACCCTGTGACTAGAGCATGCTGTGTGGTCCACCTAAAAGACTCCAAGGAGGCAAGACGCCTCTGAACCGCAAAATTCCCCAACATTCTGAGGATGGCGAGACTTTATCCTGCGAGGCTGGTGTTGTTTTCGGAGCCTCGGAGCTAAAATCGGGCCTGCTCGGCAAGAGGTCAGATCTGCGCACCTTGAAATCTGTCCAAAACTCTACGCCCTGCAACCTGTGATTCTAACCAAAAGCCCGTGAGCAGGGTGCCACCCTACGGGTGCTGCACACCCCAGGCCCAGGGCTGAGTAGTCTCGGAGCGGTCGGAGAGTTGTGTGATCTGAGAGAGCTTGGCTTCGGAAGCTTCCCTGCTGAAGAAGATGACTCCCGCTCCGGCAGCTTCTCTGGCCAGCCCAAGGCCACGCAAACGACCACGTGTGCTTGTTTTTAGAGGACGTTCTTGGGTTTCAACTTGTTCTTGTTGCACAGCTCTCCCAGGAATAGTTTTCCAGGACTGTATTGTGAATTTTTGTGCACTGCAAGGAGGAAAGGGCACTGTTCACTGGGGACAATGTGCCTGGATCCCAGGCATTCGTGCCGTTCACAGCACATGTGTGTTTGTTAGTGTGCATGTTCATTTGCCAGGCTGGGTTGGGGAACCGGTACTTTCCAGGAGCATCCATCTAATGCATTGGCCGTATGTGTTTCCACTCCAGCGCCCCGTATGAAAGCAGACGTGCTTCGAGGATCTGCAGCAATACATGCGGTCTTTGAAGCTCATGGCGGCGCAGGACGCCGCTCTGCACCCTAGCATCCCTGTGCTCAATGAGCCTCGGGTTCGGTAACAAGAAGGAAACAGGGCAGTCATGTCTGAGCCGGTCGCATCATGAGCTGACGCAGGATGTTGATCGTTTCTAGTAGGAAGTCCTTCGACATGTATAAAGTTCGCTACCGCGAAACATGGCCCAGTGAAGGATGCGCAGAGACGTGCTCAAGTCATGAACCCAAGAACGTTTGCAAGTGCCGCAGGCGCCGGACGTTCTCTACCCTGCCCACGGGTCAGCCATCCGGATCTTTGCGATGGGAGTTCCGGGCACCAGGGCAGACCGCGGTATCAACATTGTTAATATGATTAATATGATTAATATGATTAATATGAGTAATATGATTAATATGATTAATATGATTAATATGATTAATATGATTAATATGATTAATATGATTAATATGATTAATATGATTAATATTATTAATATGATCAATATGATCAATATGATCAATATGATTCATATTATTGATCTCATAAATATAGTTAATATTGTGAGTATTGAGAAGGCCGGTGGTGGCTGGCACCTCGGAGGTTGCTGCTTGGCCCACGGCTCGGCGGATTCTCCGAGTTGCCCTGGATGTTTTTGGGGACCCCGCGCTTTTTTTTTTTCGCGAGGTTGAAGATGTACATCACCCATCGCGAAGACCGAATTCGGCAGGTTGAGGATGCCCGGAAGCCTAACACTCGCAGAAGCGGCGCCAGCCGAAGGTGAGGTTCAGCTTTTGGTGGATGGTGGATGTTAATATTATTAGCATTATGAATCTTTATAGTGATATGAAAAACTCATTTAAAAACTTTTTAAATGTGACTCCTCTTTTCAGTATACGGCCGAGGAGCTTAAAGGCGCAGATGCTGGCCTGGACTTGGTGAACCTTGTCAAACGGGTGTACAAGGCAGCGAGCCCCTGCTGCCTTTCTTTTGCGTCACGTCTTTCGTTGGCTGCAGCAGGCGCAACCGGAGGTGATGGAGTCGGAGGGACTTTTCAGGCCCGTTGTACTTTGGAGTTGGGATGCTTTGGCTTAGGCTGTCGTGGCGAACCCGAGTTCATTGGAGTACCCCAGAGGTTGTGTAAGTGGGTGATGCCGCTGCCAGGGGTGCCTGCCTCAACACGAAGGACCGAATCCCCACCTTTGCTTGCGCCAGTTCAGAAGACTGTTGTGCGGGCGCCTGCGTACTATCCGTGTTATCTGCATCGGGACGATGTCGCGTCCGGCAAGTCTTTCAGCTCAAGCTTGAGAAGCTTTGTTTTTTCAACCGCGGATACTACGTCTGCAAACATCAGCGGGCACGAGTGCTCCAGAGTCTAGCTCAGCAGGAGGATGAAGCCTGTTGCCCCCGTTCGGTGACTTGTCCAGTTGCTGTAGTTGATTATAACATCCTACTGCTGACCGAATGGCGGTGACCATTGATGAGAACGATGAGACAGATCCGGGGCCGGAGAGGACGTGCTGCAGGGATACTTTCGTGCAGCATTTTTTGCATGTGGGCAGCTGCCAAGCTTCCAGGAGCAGTGACTACTCTAACACGGGGCTAGAGGGGTGTGGGTGCATTGACAGGAGTTTGCCGGAAGAGCCAGTTCGGCTTCTGGTTGACCGGGAAGACCACCACATCGGCCGCTTGCAGGCCATGGAATGCGAGCATGTGCTGCAGAGCGAGCGCGAGGTGAAGTGAGGGCATGAGAGCATTGCCCGTGCCCGCGAGGTCTATAGCTATGATCACGTCCTTGGCTTGCAGTAGCAGGGCTGCTGCCCAGAGTAGCTGCAAGAGGTCTTCTTCCCCTACATGCAACATCACATCGATTCATCCATGCCTTTGCTGCACATCGAGGTTGGTCTACTTTTCAAGATCTGCGAGTTGCTGACTGGTCATGGTGTTGACATTTGCAACATGGCGGAGTAAGGTGACAATGACAGCCACAGCCCAGCCAGAGCATCTAACACGGCTCATATGCGTGTTCTGTGCCAGTGTATGTGTGTTTTTATGAATGTGATGTGCAGAGGTAGTGCCATCATCAACACATCGGCAAATGGTATAGCAACTCGTCTGCGTTGCGTTCTTGTGTTGCTACGTTGTGGTTGGAAGTTTCCACTATTTCCAGTGTGGCAGTCCGGCCACGATGCCTGTAGCAAAATGTGGTTTTGCGATTTTTGCCATTACGAACCGCAATTGATTTTGCTGCTGTTGATTTGCGCACATGCCGAGAGCAACGCTCTTGCGATACCAGGATCCCGTCAGAGGCCGCTGGGAAACTCGGGGTGTTGACAAGTTGCTGCCAGGTCTACAATGAGTTCGAGGTCCGCATTTCGCGCCCCGCAGACACGGCGGCAGTGATGGACTGGCGCCTCGGGCGAGGGCGCGGAGGGGAGTTGCTGAGCCGCGTGTCGTCGATCATTTTCCAAGTCTTTTCCGTGTACGGGCACGAGGTGCCGCGAGTTGGAGGAGATGTTGGAGAAGACCCGAGGCCTTGCCGGTGCCTCACCAACGTACCCGCCCATCCAAGCACGAAGGCATGTTTGGTTCGCCAGGTTTCGCAGGTCGCAATCGGTAAGAACTCATAACCGGGAAGAGTTTGGGCAGCGGCTTCCTTGCTGCAACTCTTCCATGCATTTCCCATCTTTGCAGGATCAGCCCAGCTACTACCGAATTCCCGAGCAAGTACGGTGGTCATTTTGACACAGCAGGAGTTGAAAGATGTGTTGGTTCTCTGTATCTATGTTTGATCACTCCATCGAAAGCTCTGGGCAGGCCCCGCCTTTGACAACTCTCTCGTTGCCGTCTCAAAGCGCCTCTCGGTGAACCCTGATCTGGTCAGTGCTGCTCCGCTCGCATTCAGAAGTGCCTCTATTTTTGGTGTTAGTGCTGGCTGAAGCGTTTAGGCCCAGGCGGCTTGTTTTTGTCAGCTGAGCCCACAAGTCTTTTCGGCAACGCAAGGTTGTCAGCTTCGCAGAGCTTCCTGCAAACAGCGAGCCCAAAGCTTGGCTGATGCCTCTCTCTCTCTCTCTAACGTCGTGTGCTCCGTGCATTCCAAGACTCGGGGGGGTTCTGTAAGTAGGGTGAGTGATGCAGTTCTGTCTGCATGATGATCCGAACCTTTGCGCTTGTCGCACGACTGTGTTTGTTGTTCAGATTTTGAGTGGGGCGGTTGTCGCGGTTCTAAGACCAAAATAGCTACCATGTTTCTAAGTTGCGTTTGCTGCGCTGCTCCTGCTGCAGCCGCTGCAGTCCCTGTGTCACCGACCTGGAACACCACTTTGATGACTCAGGCGCGAGCTTCGCTACCATTTGGTGCTGGAGGGGATCAATCAGGTGACCGGCCCAGGGCAAGCTACCGGCCCCAACAATAGGCATGCCAGTTATGAGTGCAACCACATTGTGTGGGCACTGAGGCCGGTCTGCTGACGTACACCGCGCTGGTGCTCTTCCGCTGCGGCTTCAGCCACCTGGCCTAAGCTCGCAGTCCGGTCGCGGGCTCCAACAAAGGCTAATTGACAACAGATGGCGCAGCAGTGATGTAAGAATGCCTGGCAATCGAGCATGGTTTGTAAGGCAAGGGTTCAAGAGCAGAGAAAATTGTGTCGGGCCGTGCAAGGCATCCTGCATGCCACCATCCAGACAAGCGAGGCCAGCAAGAGCATTGTCTGTTGATCCAACCTTGATGTCCAATGATCAGCACGAAATTTGCTTCGTGGACACACGCTTGCGCACAGGGGCATATCGTGGACACCTTCGACCTTTCGACGAAGTCGACGGAAGCTGAGAGTCTGCTTCGCTCCTACTTAGACGTCCCGAATGGCGGAGGCCCGATCGTCGGAGCTAAGCCAGTGTCGGTGTGTGTGTGTGTGTGTGTGTGTGTGTGTGTGTGTAGGTCGTTGTTTGCGTTTGGTGTCTGCATGTGCATGGCCAGCTGTCCAACTGCTTCATGGAAGTCACCTTGTTGTGCTGAGATTCATGGGCAGCTAGCACCCTGAACCCTAAACCCGAAACCCTGCAAAAGACCAGACACCCTCAAACCTACATGCCTAGCAGCTAGCAGCTAGCAGTTTCGATGAAGTTTGCCACTGGCCAGGTGGGCAGAGCAAGGCTCGTCCTTGTCTGTCTCAGCAGTTCCTTGCGGCGTATCTCAGATATTCAGCTGCTCGGGCATCTTGCAAGGAGTCAACGCCTTTACCCTTCCACGCCATCGAGTCGGACCCTGACATGCAGGCCCACCTGCAAGCTCGCACATGTTGCTATTCTTTTTCCATGGCGCACTGCTCGAGAGCCTGCGAAAAGAGAGCGTGTTTTGGCCACAGCTCTCTCAAGCGTTCATACATAGACCCTAAACCCTAAACCCTAAACCCTAAACCCTAAACCCTAATATGCATAGACAGCACTTGAGTTCCGGAAGCTGTAGAGCGGACGGCCGACGCTGGAATTTTTAAGCCCTTTGGCCAAGCACGTCTTCGTAAGGCGGATTGCCCCAATGCCAGCTTCAGGATGTTGACAAGTGAGCTCGGTTTAGGGTTTTGCGAAAGGGCTTAGGGTTTAGGATCCGAGCCCCGCTGAAAAACTGCACGTGGTTTTTGGGTACCCTAGATTAAGGGGCCTCCTGATCATGGTAACCCTAAAAAGGGGCCCCAATTTAGAGGAATCCCCCACATGATGACCAGCCATGGGCTACGGCCGCTTGCACGTTCCGATCGTGTGCCTCGGCAGGTGCACAGAGCCTCAGACACTTACAGCCCTTTAGGAGGGCTGAGGGCCATTCTCGTCATGGATCATGGCAGTCATCGGCTTGATCATCGCTGGGGAGTGTTTCAAAGCCTTTGATCTCGCTAACCTCTCGGCAGCTAGAAGGTGGGGTGACCGGAATGGGCGGCAGCCAAGCATAGCCAAGCAAGACTCTGCATAAGGCTGGGCTCGCTCCGGGACCGCTGGTGCGTAGCACTGAAGCCCGCCGGCTTTGCCGCCGCCTCCGCCCATCCTGCGCCATCCCTGGAAGCGACGCTGAAACCTTTCCTTCGCCGGGACCGCCTCTTGGAATACATCAGAAAAGTAGGTTCTGCACGCTCACATACACCTTGTGTCGAGGCGCCATTTCTTTTCCCATCAGACCCCAGAAGGACGCAGAGGGACTCACCTTTGTGCAGGCCTCAGCTCGTCACCTTTCTGATCTTTCTGTCAGCAACACAACCTGTTTGCGAAAGCGGGCGCAACCCAGGTGACGACGGATGATGCCATGCGCAAGTGGATCGATGAGATGCTGACCCTGGGCAGCAGCTGTTCAGGAAGAATGTCCCGGAATGGTTCACTGGATCACTGCCCTGCGTAAAGCTTCAGGCGACGCGGTCTGGTTCGCGCCCGGTACCGGGTCTTGGCGGACGTCGTTTCGACTGGGAGTGCTGGGTCGCCACTGTGCGGAAAGGGCGACATGCTGTTGGAGTCCGGCCAACTACCAGCTGCAGGCAGGTAGCACTGGGAAGATGTTTGCTTTCCATGCGGGAGAAGTGGCTGTGAAGGTGAAGGTAAGGCAGACAGCTTCGAGTTCGAGCTCTACAGCGGAGACCTGGCAGCAGTTGCTTGCAGACGCCACGCGAGCATGATGACAGCCTGATATCTGTAAAGTCATGGGCCCAGGCCCAACATTATGTCCAGTCGACAAGAAGATCACCACAGACCCTCGGATCAGCAATCTGAGAATGAGGGGAGGGCACCTCATGTTGTTTGCGCGGCCTTGCTTCTGGTTTGATAATCTGAGGCGCTTTACCTTGTGACGGGCGCGCCCTCCACGAAGGCAGCCCACCAGATCCGGCGCAGCTTCTTCCACGCACATGCCCCTGTGATGCGCCTTGTCGTTCTGCACAGACATGTGAGCTGTGTGTGAAGTACCCGTGTGCGACTATGAATGCGTATCCGTTCAGTGGATGGTGCCAGTTGCTGTCCATTGCAATGCTGGATTCGTACGTTTTCTCAGGTATGATCCTGCTTTTCATCCGTGCCGTGTGGAAGCGGACGACCCGATGGCAGATGCAGTTCCCCACGCAGGTCCGGTGGGAAGCCGACGATGGCCCAGAGACGTTTGAACCCAACACCCAAAACCGGTGGTCTACAATCGGGCCTTGTTCGAGGTGGTGAGAAGGGATCCGAGGTTTTGGCTTGGGTTTTGGTCTGATTTAGTCTGGTGTGCTGCGCGGGTTTTGGTTGCGGGTTACCGGGGTGGGACGGGCTCGGTGCAGGTCACGGACGGGCGCAGCTCGGCCCCCCCACGGTAACTTTCATCCTTTCCTCAACTTTGGCTGCTGTAGAGCAGTTTTCCTCCTACAGTTTGCCACACAGTGCGTGGCCAGGCGGCTGCATCCTAGGCCCCAAACTCCTGCAAAACCCTGAAGCCGCCCCTAGCAGGTGCCCTGGCCATGCAACTCTTCGAACTTGAAATGCCCGATCCTTTCCGCTCCTGGGAGACGCTGTGCATTACTGCCAAGGTCCCGAAGGCAGCACAGGGTGCGACAGGATAAGGGTACGACAGGGCAAAGTGGTGGTTTCTGAAAATAGAGGGGATTCTAGTCGACTTGGGGTATCCGTATAAAAGTGGTCCCCCTGTTTTGGGAAATGCCCAAATTGGTAGACTTGCATTTGTTCTTTTTGCCCCACAACCGTGTTCACCTTGCCCTGATGCCTGTGAGTCATACTTTTTTTATGGTGCTTGTGGCTTGTGATCCTCCTACCAGGATGTCATGTCCGGGATACCGGAAATGTATGTCATATGTGGTGCGCTTGCAATTTGGATTGCATCTTGCTGCCTGAAAACTCTGCAACTCGGCTATTGACAGGAGTGGCTTGACGTTCATCCTCTTCCTGAGTTGATGGGCAACGATGGGGATTTCGACGATTTCTGGTGACAAGATGCGCAAAGAAACGACCTTGCGCCGTGTGTGGAGTTTTAGCATGGAGAGAATCTACAAGCCAGCCTGCCCGTTGCATGTTTTGTTGTGCCGTGGGCAGGCACTGATGCAGATGTGGCGGCATAATGCGCCGCGGGCCTAGCAGGAAGCCAATTGGCCGCGAAGTGCTAGACGCCCGTAACGAGTCTGCAGCATCGGTGATGTTATCAGGCGTGTTGATGCTTCCGACATGAACCTCAATACCACGAAGAGATTTCGGAGATTTCGAGTGGCGAAGGTCTGGCCTCGAGCGCTCCCATACCAACCTCACAAGCTGGAGCGAAGCCGGTGAGATTCCTTCTCCTAGCCTCAGCCGCGTGCCCTCCTTGGGCGAGCTTCTTGGCTATTTGAGGGACGACGCGTTCTGCAGTGGCAGTCGCACTTGTGACCTCGCTAGTGTCCGTGGCTGTTGCAGATGTGCACATGTGATCAAGGAACATTTGCTGTGCGTAGGACTTCAGAGGCTGCAATAGGTTGAAGTCTTCGGATCTGTAGATGGAGTGGCTGTTGTCGGTCTGGCTTGCCGAGGATTCAGGAGGAGCATCGTGGCTGCACTGAAAGCTTGTCCGAGCGCGATGCGACAGTCTAAGCATTCTAAGCCTAAGCACCACAATGGGCGGCTGCAGGCGTTCAAATGTGAGCATCGACGAGCGGAGCCGCCTGGCCTCCTTTACTTCTGAGGAGCAGCCCACGCCGCAGGAGCGATCTTTTCCGGATTTCAGCGGCCTTTAAGAGTACCCTTTGTGCCCTTTACATCCTTTGGCAAAAGCTGGGAGTTTGGTCATCCAAGATGCCTTAGGTGGTGCATGATTTCTCTGCTGTGCACAGTCTTTTCTCTTAGCTGACGATGCAGGAGCCTGAGAAAGAGCAAGAGCCTGGACAGTCCTCGGCCCAGCTGGGGCTCCCTGCTGACTAGACGGATGTTTTAGTTGTGGGGCTTTGTGGGCTACGTGCAGGTTCAAGCACAAGTTGCATGCCCTGTCGAACAGGTGCGTAACATCTTGGCTTTCCTTGGCTCAAGCATGCTGCTGGCTGAACTCTCTCGGTACACGCTGCATGAAGACTGGACAAGGCTTGAGCAGGACGTGAGGTTTCCGCCTAACTTGCTGTACCTACGCCACTGACTAGCATGCTATAGACCTACAAAAATGACAAAGTTTACGACGGAAACGCTTCAGCATAATGTTATCATGTTCCAATTGCCCGCTGTCACACATTCACCCCCGAAGCGATGGAATCTTTCGATCCGGGCACATCGAAGGCAGCCTCCTTAGCAACGGCTTCAGCAAGTGTCAAGGCCGCGGGCGCGCCGCCCTTGAGTACCTCGAAAGCGGCAAGTTGCCTTTCTGCCCCTGACTCTCATGTCCCAAGAGTCGTGCCCGTTCCACGGGCCCCGAATTCTGTCGGCGTGCCGCCGTCCGCTTCGGCGTTTGCTCCAGGGCCGTTCATCTCAGGCTCTGGCCCAGACTTGCCCTTGCCCGTAAAGGCTCCGCCCCCAAGCCCAGCGCGTCAACAGCCCGTAGATGGGGTCACTCCGAAAATGCCACCCGCACAGTTTGAAGTTGTGTCGGGTGGCGTGATCGGAGTGAAGATGCCCCCGTCAGTTGGCCCGCCTCTTGGCCCGCCTCTTGGCCCGCCTCTTGGCCTGCCTCTTGGCCCATCTCTTGGCCCGCCACTGGGCCCGCCATTTGGCCCGCCACTGGGCCCACCACTAGGCCCTCCACCCATGATGTCAACATCCCTACCGGACCTGCCTCCCAGCATGGGTTTGGCTCCGCCTGTGGGGCCACTGCCTGCCATTCTGCTGCAACCACCGCCAGACCAACCCCCAGCTGGGCTTCTTGCGGCGGTGGACGCTGCTGTCGTGCGTGCAGGCACACCCAGCGGCCCTGCTGGGCCCGTCGAAAAGGTGGAGTGGCAGGCACACAAGTCTCCCGAAGGCTTGCCGTTTTTCTTCTGCAAGAAGACAGGTGAGTCGAGATGGGTCCGGCCGTCGGGTCCAGGTGACGTTATCGTGGAGGCCCCAAAGGAGGAACCCAAGGCATCGTCGCAGAAGGAGAAGCTTGGAGAGCCCGAAACCTGGGAGAGCATCGGAAAGACAGGCTGGACCCGGGTGGAAACGGACAAAGGTTACACCTACTTCTACCACAAGAAGCAGAAGAAGACTTCGTGGACATGTCCACCAGAGATCGCCAAAGAGGTGGCAGAGCTGGATGGCAGCCTCGGTGCCATGGAGGGCGAAGAGGAGTCCAAAGAGGGGGACGGCAAGAAGGAAGCGGAGGGGACGGAGGATGCGCCTGAGAAGCAGCCCGCAGACGAGAACGAAGACGGGCCAAAGAAGCAGACACGCGCCGAGCGAGCCGAGAAGCGGGCGCAGCAGGTGGAGGAAGAGCAGAAAGCTGCCAAGGAGAAGGACAAGCTGCGGAACTTCAAGCAGCTGTTGCTGGAGAAGGGCGTGAGGGCTTTTGACAAGTACGACAAGTGGGTCCCCAAGCTGATGCATGACCCACGTTTCACGGCAGTGACTGGGCTCAAGGAAAGACGACTTCTGTTCGAGATGTTTGCAAAACGCATCGAGACGGAGAAGCGCAAGACCCAGGCCGTTTGCAAAAACCGAGGGCGCGAGGCTTTCAAAGAGTTGCTGGATAAGGCCGAGCAGTTGGACCTGCTAGCTGGGCGGACGGTCGAGAAGGCGCTGGCCAGCATGGAGCGGCGCTTTGGCGACGAGGCGCAGTGGGACGCGGTGCCCGAGCGCGACCGGGAGCGCATGGTTTCAGAGGCTGTCGCCGAGGCCACGAAGCGGGTGGAGAAGCAGAAGGAGGAGGCACGCGCAAAGTTCCGCGCGATGGTCATGGATGTACTCAAGGGTCAGGAGGAGGATCCCCCGGCCTTCTCCAAGGTGCGCCGGCAACTTGAGTCGGACCCTTCCTGGGGCCAGCTGGCGTCCACCGAGCGCGAGAATCTCTATGGCCGCCTCGCGCGGGAGGTGAAGGACAACAAGAGGAGGCAAAATGCCAAGCGCCGGGAAGTCCAGCAAGAGCTGGAGGAAGCCCGCAAGAAGCGCAAGCTGTCCGAGGCAGAGGAGAAGATCTTCAGCGTGCTGTCCGAGCGCATGAAGAACCCCTTCAGCATGACTTGGGAAGAGGCCCCTATTCCGCTTAAAACCCTGCAATGTGCCCGACCCCAGTGAGTAAAACCGATGTCTGTTTCATTTGCGGTAGCAGCACCTTGTTTCATTTTGGGCTTTATGAGGGCTTTCGTCCCCTGCAGGCGAAGCCAGAGGTACGCAACCTTCATCTGCAGAAGGACTTTGGGCTGAAGGATGATGAGCTGGAACAGTTGTGGCTGGACTACCAGCGGAGGGCGATCGATGCGCGAAGAGAGGCGGATCGATCGGTGTCGTCAGCATGTGCCCACTTGGGTCAGGAGAAGCTACCTGCATCTTCCTGCACGCGCTCTTCATTCATCTTTGTACTTTTCCATCTTGTTTCGCTTGCTCCCTGCTCTCCCGATGCTTTGCCCTGGGCCGCTGTGTCAGGCTTGGCTGTGCATTCTGGATGCTGCGGGCTTCGATGTTATCGGACCAGAGCTGGAGTTCGAGGACCCTTTGCCCCGAACAAGTCTCTGCAACCCTACGCCATCGAAGCCCCACCATTACGAGATAACTTGGGGGCTCCTGTGGATGCTTGAGATATGCTTGTGGTGATTTGCATTTTGAGAAACCTTCGGGCCCTTGTTGAAGCACCGAAGCTGGTGTGGTCTTCAGCTATGCAGGAGTATGCATGCGTGCATGCGCCCCCCTAGAATTCCTGAGAATGAGCGACCTTCCAAGGAGGTGGTTGAGAGGGCATTTGATGCCAACACAGACGTGGCCACGCAGAAGGCTTTCGAAGGCATGCCAGAGGACGCTCAAGCTCATAAGGGGAGTTCGAGGGTGGCGGACAACTTGTGCACTGCTCTATAGTAGCGTGCAGCCGCAGAAATGCGCCTTTCAGGACGTTTCGTGAAGGGAGCATGTCCCTTCCGGCTAGAAGACTTCACTAAGACGTCACGTGGATGTAGACGTTCTTGCGCAGCAATGCAAGGATGTGTTGAAGGAAGCCTGGGCTCAGTGGCGTGAGCGCGCTTACGACCTGGCGGTGGAAGACTGCCAGAAGTGGCTTCGCACTTGCCAGCACCTGCGTGGCTGCCACTTGATCCACTTGGTTGATCTCCTTGCAAGTAGTTTCGACTTGCACGGTCACTTACTTTGGCCAAAGCTGGCGGATGTTTGTTTTTGACAGGTGAAGATGTGGAGCCCACCGGTGGCGACGATTTCGACCGCCTGATGCAAAGGTTAGCAGCGAAGGACATTCGCTTCAGGAGGCTGCATGGGCGGCCTGAACAGCAGACAAGCGCCTTTGACTGCACGCTTCTGAAGAGAGTAGTGCCTTTTTTGGGCAAAGGGGTCCAAGAGTCCAGAGGTATCCAGAGGTAGTAGTGACGGCATGCAGAAGGACCTAAGGACGGGCATCTGTGGCTGTAATCTCAACCCCGACTCTGCCCTTAGGATTGCTGGCGGGACGTCTGCGAGAGCTTCGCAGCCTCCGAGGGCAAAAGAAGGATGGTGGAGGTGAGGAGGACGAGTACGGGTGAGAGGACTGTGCGCAGCTGGGTATACCCGGAGAGAGAGTGTTACCATCCCAAACATTGGCGGATATTGCCCACATTGGCAACCGCCGTTGCGCTGAAGTGCTGCTGGCGGCTACTGCTGCTATGTTGTGCCTGGGACATGCCCAGATGCACTCAGCACCTGTCACGCTTGAGTGCTGTCAGCGCAGGCAGCAGAAATGGAAGCTTTGCGTGCATCTGTAGCCAGATGGAAGTCAGACGGACTTGAGTTCCGGCATTTCGCGGGTGTGTATGAGTATAGAGGCACAGAGAATTCTTAGAGAAATCATTCTGTTGTTTTCGGCATCTTCGGACTTTACCGAACTAAGGTCGCGAGAGCGGCCGGAGCGGACACAGGACAGGACACCACGGGCCACCGCCAGAAAGATGCCGGGAACTGGGGCTAAGTGCTTGACTTCACAGGCCTGGAGTTGGTACCCACCTTTGAAGCTTGCAAGGTCCGTGCAGTTTGTGAACGGAGATGTGCATCTGGCTTGTTTCTGGGATTGTGGGATAGGCCACTTCTGCTGAGCTTTTGACCTTCATGACCGTTTGAGGTGTACACTGGCAATTGCAAGCAGTTCCCAGACGGGGAGCGGCGGCATGGCCTCGGCACCTACGTCGCTGGGCATGCCAGAGGTTCTCCAGAACCCAGGGCTGCTTATGTTTGGTGGAGGGTTTGGGGGTTCGGGTGTCATGAGGACTTGACGGCAAAATCTCGCCCAGGTCTATTCCAGCGGAACCCATGACATTTACAAGCAGCGGCTTGGCTGGTAAATGTTTCGGTCGCCACACGATGTGTGAGTGCGAGCCCATAGTCATCAAAGGTACCACGGCCAATGGCATGAGGACACCCGCTGCGGGCATGCGTGCTGGAGCTTTGAGCTGAAGTCACTTAGTTGGGCACCAACGATTGCGCATTGGGCCCCCTCGACTGGCCGCCCGCAAAGGCAGAACTCAATCCCAAAGAGCAACGCTCGGCAGCTTTACGGGCTGCCTGCAAACCTCGGAGCCTTCCGAACAGCCTCTCCAGAGCATGTTTTTTGGCACGCTCGCATCTCGCTAGCATTTTTCTAGTCCTCGCCCAGTATTGGGGTGCGCAGGACAAGAAGCATGGCTACGGCGTGCTCTTCTATCGGAACGGAGGGGTGTATGCTTCTAGCATGCAGTATTGTCGGATTCAGGGTCGGCCACAAGAAGCAAAAGCCAAAATGGTAGAAGCCTTCAGCATGGCCGCCAAGTTCCGAGACCATCTAGACATGGTGTGACATGTGTTGGCTTTGCAGCATGCAGGTTTTAGGGGATGGCCCTCTGTGTTGCACGCCGCGAACAGACCCCCAGCATCCAAAAGAGAGGTGGGGCAGTGGCGCAACAACCAGAAGCACGGCCTGGGCGTGTTGCTGGATTCTTCATCGCAGGCCTCGCCCCATGTTGCAGCGGTGGAGCAACCATGCCGACCCTGAACGCAAGAATGAAAGCAGCCGAATCTGGTCACTGTAGCGCCACGAGGCATCCATACGTAGGGTGCAGCGTGCTTTTGAGTTGTACAAAGATCGCCAGGAACCGGCGGCGGCTTGTCTCACATTGGAGCAGGTCAAGGCTCTCGCACCTTAACATCCCTCGCCTCGGAATCTCTGTCTGCTCGTCACGGACCAAAACTTTCACTCAAAGCCAAGGGCATGCCCACCTACCGCTACGAAGGCCTTTGGAAGGAGGACTGGGCCTTCTGGTCAGAGCGCGCAGTGTTTGTTGATGCGCACAAGCGCAAATGGGGCGGAAATCAACGCCGTGGTTCGGAACAAGCTGGACCTGATAAGAGCACTAAAAATGTGGAGCCTGTGCAACCCTGAGCCGATGTCCTGAGGCCTCAATCAGAATCATCATAATAATAGTCATAATCGTCATAAAAATCATGAGAATCATGATAATAATAAAAACCGTAATAATAACAGAAATAAGACCAATAGGCATAATAATAGTCAGAGGAATGCAACAACGAAGCAGGATCAGCAGCACGGCCTTGGTGCAGAAGAGCAGGACTTGGTGCCGCTTGCCTCACAGGGCCTCTTGCGCAATTCACGGGGCTGGAGCCTTGAGCTGGACCCAAATTAAGAGTAATAATCATAATACAAAGAATATAATAGCAAGAATAATATTGATAATAATCATATTGAGAAAATAATAGGAAGAATCATAATAGTAATGACAATACCAATAATAATGTAATAGTAATACAAGTAGTAATAATAAGAGTAATAGCAAAAGTAATCAAACAACAATAGGAATCACAATAGCAAGTAATCATACTGCCCCAACCTTGCACATGCTTGTGCCTGTTCGCCAAAGGTCGTACTTCGGCAGCTTTGCCGGCGGCCAGCGCAGCTTGCAAGCTTATTCCATTGTTATTATGATTCTTCTTATTTTTTCCCGAAAGCATCGCGAAGGGTTCTTCCGTGCGGAGCCCTCTGACCCAACAACATAGAGTGAAGTACATAGAGTGAAGTGCATAGAGTGAAGCGCATAGAGCGAAGTGCATAGAGTGAAGTGCATAGAGTGAAGCGCACAGAGTGAAGTGCATAGAGTGAAGTGCATAGAGTCAAGTGCACAGAGTGAAGTGCATAGAGTGAAGCGCATAGAGTGAAGTGCATAGAGTGAAGTGCATAGAGTGAAGTGCATAGAGTGAAGTGCACAGAGTCAAGTGCATAGAGTGAAGTGCATAGAGTGAAGTGAAGTGCATAGAGTGAAGTGCATAGAGTGAAGTGCATAGAGTGAATTGCATAGAGTGAATTGCAATGAGTGAATTGCCTAGACCTTCGTACCCAGTCCTAGATTTCTAAATTAAAATTACTCTTTCTAAGGCGGCGGGCTGGGTTGACATCGCCAATCGGGATTGCAACCCTCTGCGGGTTTCGGCGTGGTCGTGGTGCTAAAACCGTCGTTTTTTTACGTTTCTTTGTGTCCGCGGACAACCCTCTGCGGGTTTCGGCGTGGTCGCAGTGCCAAAACCGTCGTTTGTTGACGTTTCTTTCTGACCGCGGACAACCCTCTGCGGGTAATCGCCGGGTCGCGGTGCTAAAACCGTCGTTTTTGGAACTTTTTTTCGTGGGCGCAGACAACCCTCTGCGGGTTTCGGCGTTGGCGCGGTGCCAAAACCATCGTGTTTTTGCCTTTTTTGACATACAAACGTAACCCCTCTGCGGGTTTCGGCGTTGGCGCGGTGCCAAAACCATCGTGTTTTTGCCTTTTTTGACATACAAACGTAACCCCTCTGCGGGTTTCGGCGTTGGCGCGGTGCCAAAACCATCGTGTTTTTGCGTTTTTTGACATACGAACGTAACCCCTCTGCGGGTTTCGGCGTTGGCGCGGTGCCAAAACCATCGTGTTTTTGCGTTTTTTGACATACGAACGTAACCCCTCTGCGGGTTTCGGCGTGGTCACGGTGCCAAAGTCGACTTTTGTAGTACGGACACGCGGAGCTTCCGTGGCTGGAAAGTCGAGTTTTGTAGTACAGACGTAGTACGCCGGGGACACCCGGAGCTTCCGTGGCTGGAAAGTAGACTTTTGTAGTACAAACGTAGTACGCCGCGGACGGAGCTTCCGTGGCAGGAAAGTCGACTTTTGTAGTACAAATGTAGTACGCCGCGGACACCCGGAGCTTCCGTGGCTGGATAGTCGACTTTTGTAGTACAAATGTAGTACGTCGGGGACGCCCGGAGCTTCCGCGCGGAGCTTCCGTGGCTGGAAAGTCGACTTTTTGTAGTACAGATGTAGTACGCTGCGGACGCCCCGGGCGTCTGAAAACACCGCAAAATAGCATGGTAACGGACATCTGGGCGCTTGAAAACACCGCAAATAGCATGGAAGCCGAATTCCGCGCGCGCGCGCGCGCGAAAACACCACAAATAGCACGGTAACGGACATCTGGGCGCTTGAAAACACCGCAAATAGCATGGCAGCGGAATTCCGGACATGCGAAAACCTCGCAAATAGCATGGAAGCGGAATTCCGGACATGCTTGAAAACCTCGCAAATAGCATGGAAGCGGAATTCCGGACATGCGAAAACCTCGCAAATAGCATGGAAGCGGAATTCCGGACATGCTTGAAAACACCGCAAAGAGCATGGTACACGGACATAGCATGGGCGCTTGCGCATGAACCGCAAGCAAATAGCATGGAAGCGGAATTCCGGACATGCTTGAAAACCTCGCAAATAGCATGGAAGCGGAATTCCGGACATGCGAAAACCTCGCAAATAGCATGGAAGCGGAATTCCGGACATGCTTGAAAACCTCGCAAATAGCATGGAAGCGGAATTCCGGACATGCGAAAACCTCGCAAATAGCATGGAAGCGGAATTCCGGACATGCTAGAAAACACCGCAAAGAGCATGGTAACGGACATCTGGGCGCTTGAAAACACCGCAAGTAGCATGGTAACGGACATTTGGGCGCATGAAAACACCGCAAATAGCATGGAAGTGGAATTCCGGACATGCGAAAACCTCGCAAATAGCATGGAAGCGGAATTCCGGACATGCTTGAAAACACCACAAATAGCATGGTAACGGACATCTGGGCGCTGAAAAACACCGCAAATAGCATGGTGACGGACATCTGGGTGGTGGAAAACACCGCAAATAGCATGGTAACGGACATCTGGGCGCCTGAAAAACACCGCAAATAGCATGGTAACGGACATCTGGGCGCTTGAAAAACACCGCAAAGAGCACGGTAACGGACATCTGCACGCTTGAAAACACCGCAAATAGCACGGTAACGGACTTCCGCGCGCGTGAAGACACGGGGATGTTTTTCCCGAAAGCATCGCGAAGGGTTCTTCCGTGCGGAGCCCCCTGACACAACAACATAGACTGAAGTGCATAGAGTGAAGTGCATAGAGTGAAGTGCATAGAGCGAAGTGCATAGAGTGAAGTGCATAGAGCGAAGTGCATAGAGTGAAGTGCATAGAGTGAAGTGCATAGAGTGAAGTGCATAGAGTGAAGTGCATAGAGCGAAGTGCATAGAGTGAAGTGCATAGAGCGAAGTGCATAGAGTGAAGCGCATAGAGCAAAGTGCATAGAGTGAAGTGCATAGAGGCAAGTGCACAGAGTGAAGTGCACAGAGTGAAGCGCATAGAGTGAAGTGCATAGAGTGAAGTGCGTAGAGTGAAGTGCATAGAGTGAAGTGCATAGAGTGAAGTGCATAGAGTGAAGTGCATAGAGTGAAGTGCATAGAGTGAAGTGCATAGAGTGAAGTGCATAGAGTGAAGTGCATAGAGTGAAGTGCATAGAGTGAATTGCATAGAGTGAATTGCATAGAGTTTAGTAATCAGTGAATACAAATTTCTAGATTTACGTAGAATTTACTAGACCTTCGTACCCAGTCCTAGATTTCTAAATTAAAATTACTCTTTCTAAGGCGGCGGGCTGGGTTGACATCGCCAATCGGGATTGCAACCCTCTGCGGGTTTCGGCGTGGTCGCGGTGCTAAAACCGTCGTTTTTTTACGTTTCTTGATTTGCGCGGACAACCCTCTGCGGGTTTCGGCGTGGTCGCGAAGCCAAAACCGTCGTTTTTTTACGTTTCTTTGTGGCCGCGGACAACCCTCTGCGGGTGATCGCCGGGTCGCGGTGCTAAAACCGTCGTTTTTGGTACTTTTTTTCGTGGCCGCAGACAACCCTCTGCGGGTTTCGGCATTGGCACGGTGCCAAAACCGTGGTGTTTTTGCGTTTTTTGACATACAAACGTAACCCCTCTGCGGCTTTCGGCGTTGGCGCGGTGCCGAAACCCTCGTGTTTTTGCGTTTCTTGACATGCAAACGTAACCCCTCTGCGGGTTTTCGCGTGGTCGCGGTGCTAAAACCGTAGTGTTTTTGCGTTTTTTGCGTTTGTTTTTCGACTTGTGTAGTACAGACGTAGTACGCCGGGGACTTCCGTGGCTGGAAAATCGAGTTTTGTAGTACAAACGTAGTACGCAGGGGACGCCCGGAGCTTCCGTGGCTGGAAAGTCGACTTTTGTAGTACAAACGTAGTACGCCACGCGGAGCTTCCGTAGCTGGAAAGTCGACTTTTGTAGTACAGACGTATAGTACGCCGGGGACGCCCGGAGCTTCCGTGGCTGGAAAGTCGACTTTTGTAGTACAAACGTAGTACGCCGCGCACACGCGGAGCTTCCGTAGCTGGAAAGTCGACTTTTGTAGCACAGACGTATAGTACGCCGGGGACGCCCGCAGCTTCCGTGGCTGGAAAGTCGACTTTTTGGAGTACTCACGTAGTACGCCGCGCACACGCGGAGCTTCCGTGGCTGGAAAGTCGACTTTTTGTAGCACAGACGTATAGTACGCCGCGGACGCCCTGGGCGTCTGAAAACACCGCAAATAGCATGGTAACGGACATCTGGCCGCCTGAAAACACCGCAAATAGCATGGTAACGGACATCTGGGCGCTTGAAAACACCGCAAATAGCATGGTAACGGACATCTAGGCGCTTGAAAACGCCGCAAATAGCATGGTAACGGACATCTGGGCGCTTGAAAACACTGCAAATGGCATGGTAACGGACATCTGGGCGCTTGAAAACACCGCAAATAGCATGGAAGCGGAATTCCGGACGTACTTGAAAACCTCGCAAATAGCATTCCCGCCGCGGACACCCGGAGCTTGCATGTCGAAACCCATCGCAAATAAACCATCGCAAATATCGCGGGACTCGAATTCCTCGAAACCCTTGCAAATGTCGTGGGACTCGAATTCCGGGGCCTCGAAAACCTCGCAAATATTGGGACTCGAATTCCTCGAAACCCTTGCAAATGTCGTGGGACTCGAATTCCGGGGCCTCGAAAACCTCGCAAATATCGTGGTTCCAAAACCATCGCAAATACCCTGGTCCCCGAATTCGCTGGTTCCAAAACCATCGCAAATACCATGGTCGCCGAATTCGCTGTTTCCAAAAGCATCGCAAATACCATGGTCCCCGAAATCGCTGTTTCCAAAACCATCGCAAAAACCATGGTCCCCGAAGTCGCTGGTTCCAAAAACCATCGCGAAAACCATGGCCCCCGAATTCGCTGGTTCAAAAAGCATCGCAAGTATACCATGGTCCCCGAATTCGCTGGTTCCAAAACCATCGCAAATCAGACAAGTGCAGTGTACAAGTGACTATGCAACCATGTAAGTGCATACATTTGTCCAAGTGCATACACTTCGCCTGCAAGGAGTCAACTGCATGGAGTCAACGCACGGCAAATCGATGCTTTCGGGCCATCCCTCTTCTAGTTGTTAAGATTATTATTATCAATATTATTCTTATTTTTATTAGTATTATTATTTTATTATGATGATTATGATTATTCAATTCTGTGTTCAGACTTCTTCGCCGGGCCCTCGCCACTCACAGCTCGACCCCCAAATCAAGAACAAGCCTGCTTGAGACCGGGATCTCCAGCAAAATCTGGGGCCGAACCTGAGCCTTTCGCATACCCAAAATTTCGCTTGGGCGGGCGAATGGTTGACTGGCCCTGCCATAGATGCACTTCGAGATACTGTCCCTCCCCCTCCGTGCTTAATACTCTCCTGTCATTATCGTCGTTTCCGCTGGCTCTCACCTGCCGGCCACTGCGGGATTTTAGCAGTTTTATGGACTTGGAGGCTAGATGCCGTGCCGTTTGCACAAGCTACATAACCCGGTTTTGGAAAAGGGTGCAGGTTGGGCAGTGGTACTGCCAAGATGTGGGCATGTTTCTTGCCATGTATGTTGAACGGTTGGTGGTTCTGGAGCAAGCCAAGTTCAAGGTCATCGCATGATCGTTGTGTTGGTGAGGTGTTTGCGCAACTCTGCTGGGTGGGGCGCAGAGGAGCCTTCTCATTTGCCTCCAGGTAGTGGGCCGGGCATACGCATGAACCTCGCCAAGCTTGGCTCTAGCAACGGCATCGAGGTCGTGGACAGCAACAACCGCCACTTGGCTTTGCCCTCTGTGCGGGGAAGCCGTGAACTTGACACAGAGCCACCGAAGTGCAGGATGCACCCCTTCCAACCTCAAAGTGAGACATTGAGGATGTTGGAAATTGGGGGGGGGTCGAAGATAGGCCTCTTCAAGTCGCCCAAACTCGCGTCCCACTTGCACTCCATGTTGTAGCACTTAGGTGCTTTGCCCTTCCAAGATGCATTGCTTGACGAGCTCAATGCCACTGGACTGGAAAGCTAGGAAATGCTAGTATGGACGAGTCGAGTGCGGCCGGCTCTCGTAACTCTTGCGTGCGATTCGGGCTAAGTGGGTGTTGAGCCGCGAATCCACCAAGAAGTCTGCCAAGTTTGGATGCCTCGCAGGCCTTGTACCAACAAACTACGGAGCTGGAGTTGCAGAGGAAGCACGGCACCTAGGTTTTCCCACATGTTGTTTTATGTTTGGCCTGTTGCTCGGGCATCCGGATCTGCACTTCTTTTCTCGGGTCCAAGGTCACAGCCTGCCATGGCTGAGGGGTGCTCTGACTGCAATATCGGTGTTTAGGGGCTTGAGATGGCTTGAGATGGCTTGGGCAAGTGGCTTGTGACACCGCAGGCGAGCTGTGGCCAATGCCGTCGCACAAGGTGCTGCATCCATCCAACACTGTGTCTTCGTAGATGCTAGGTTTTCTGTACTGTAGGGTACTGTGGTCTTCGAAAGCATGAGAGCTTGCCACCTCCTTGCGGCTCCTTCCCCACCCTACAAGAGTGTGTGTGTGTGTGTGTGTGTGTGTGTGTGTGTGTGTGTGTGTGTGTGTGTGTGTGTGTGTGTGTGTGTGTGTGTGTGTGTGTGTGTGTGTTTTTCTTTTTTTAAATAAATATTTTGTGAGATTCCATTGGAAAAGTGGCACGAACCATGTGCGCTCTCCGGCAGTACAAAATTAGGACAAGGACGCCAACTGTACCAGGATGTGCTTGAAAAGGCAGGCCAGAACACTCAGGTGGGCAAATTGCTGCAATAAGCTGGCAGAGAAGGCTTAGCCGGGCAACTGTGCCAGCATGTTGCCTCAATATGCTGGCTTAGGCGGGCAATTGTAATACAATTTCAGGTGGGCAACTGTGCCGGAGTGTTGCCTTTCCGCCGTAAGGGCTCAGCTTGGTCGCCACCGCCGCCAAAAGGACGGCCGGAATTCCGAACCCGCCGCAACTGAAGTGGACAATACGGCTTGCTGCCGAAAAGCTTTAACCTTGTGCCCAAACTTGGTGCTAACTCTGAACCAGCATGGAAAACAGCAGCGAAGTGCCCCCTTCCCAACGCCGTAGCCGTAGCCTTAAATCCTTGCAGTTGGGTTTTAGGGACAGGGTGGGGATGTTCGAAGTGGTAAGTAATCTTTTTGATTTGCTGCGGCCCCTGATAGGTGTCAGCACGTACCACTTCAGCAATTCCCAAGAAGCGGCTGCGCGCACGTCCCTGGCGGACTTGACGTTTAGCTCTCACAGCCAGGAGGCAGTGGGGGGTCAGAGGTTGGACTTCCGCGGCTTGCATCGCAAGCCTCCCAGCATCTCCGGTAAGTACCCGGTAGTTCAGGCGATGCCCATGCAGAGTGCCCAGTCCCACACCACCAACGAGAGCGCACCTGGGCAAGCATTGGGCATCATTGGGCCACCGCACCGGGCACATGGTGATCTGCGTTTCCTTGCAAGGGGAGCACATCGACAGCAAGTGCCAAGAGGAGCACACCTGCGATGATCCAACGCAATGGGCCGCTCAGCCCGACAGCCATGTGTTTCCAACATGACACATGTGTGTTTTAGGGCCATCATGTCGGCACTTCTCAGGGTGCAACCGAGGTCAAACAACGATCTCGGGACACCGTCCACCCCAGCTTTGCAAGCTGGAGGTGTGACTTGGCTCGGAGGGGGAGTGTGGCTTGGAAAGGGGGGTATTGCGGGCACACAGAATGCAGAATAGGGTTGTGTGCGCATCTTCATGTTCCAGTTAAGCAAGCTAGACCTCTTGTCTTTTGCGGCCTTTCCGTGAAGCTGATTCGCTTGGGTCATCTCCGTTTGTTGCCAAGGGTCGCCCTGCAGATTGAGGTACTGTAAGTGCAGACAAGGTGCTCCTCGCATCCTTGTGCTCTGGCGATATGTAAGGTCGGGCTCCGGTCACTGTAGTCTTGCCCCACTGTAGCGCCGCTCTCTTCCTGCGTTACCCACAGCCATGGCACGACAGCGCGCGGTTCTCGTCCTAGCCATGGCCCTTGCGGCTCTGTGCTACTCGGTGGCCTTCGTGGGCCAAGCGCTGCAACCTGCAGGCCGCTCGGCGGCTGTGACACCCGCGCGTGCGGTGGCCAAGAAGAAAGCCAAGGCACCCGCGCGGGATCAGAGCATTGTCGAAAGAGAGCTAGGTCAACTAAGTATATATTGCTGCCTTTGGGTTGAACCAGAGTCCTTGACAGTGTGACACGGCAAAACGCAACATTGCTCTGGCAGGGCCCTTGGGTGGGACCCAAGAAGGGCTCCTGGGTGAAGATCTTGCGACCAGAGTCTTACTGGTTCCAGACGCGGGGTCAGGTTGTGCGGCTTGGCTTTAAGATGCGGTGCCGTGTGTCTGTCATGCGCGTGATTGCTTTAGACCATACGATTCGCCGTGCGATGCCAAGGAATGTGAATCAAAAGCCCGAAGTGAAGTATCCCGTGACGGTCAAGTTTGACCGAGTGAATTATGCCAACGTCAACACGAACGGCTTCGCCTTGTGGGAGGTGGGAATGCTTCGGCATGCTGAATTGTGATGCGCTGGGTGTCGCGCGCCCCTTCGACCCCCAAGGTCATCGAAGCTCCCGCACCCGGCCCCGGAGAGGTCTGAGCAACCAGCAAATCCCGAGGCCGAATCGGACGGCGTGTGCGTGCTCGGTTGTTTGCAAAAGCTAGACCGACTGGTCCTGCTGCTCTCGGGTTTGTTGCCCTCTCTGCAGATTGAGGTACTGTAAGTGCAGACAAGGTGCTCCTCGCATCGTTGTGCTCTGGCGATATGTAAGGTCGGGCTCCGGTCACTGTAGTCTTGCCCCACTGTAGCGCCGCTCTCTTCCTGCGTTACCCACAGCCATGGCACGACAGCGCGCGGTTCTCGTCCTAGCCATGGCCCTTGCGGCTCTGTGCTACTCGGTGGCCTTCGTGGGCCAAGCGCTGCAACCTGCAGGCCGCTCGGCGGCTGTGACAACCGCGCGTGCGGTGGCCAAGAAGAAAGCCAAGGCACCCGCGCGGGATCAGAGCATTGTCGAAAGAGAGCGAGGTCAACTAAGTATTGCTGCCTTTGGGTTGAACCAGAGTCCTTGACAGTGTGACACGGCAAAACGCAACATTGCTCTGGCAGGGCCCTTGGGTGGGACCCAAGAAGGGCTCCTGGGTGAAGATCTTGCGACCAGAGTCTTACTGGTTCCAGACGCGGGGTCAGGTTGTGCGGCTTGGCTTTAAGATGTGGTGCCGTGTGTCTGTCATGCGCGTGATTGCTTTAGACCATACGATTCGCCGTGCGATGCCAAGGAATGTGAATCAAAAGCCCGAAGTGAAGTATCCAGTGACGGTCAAGTTTGACCGAGTGAATTATGCCAACGTCAACACGAACGGCTTCGCCTTGTGGGAGGTGGGAATGCTTCGGCACGCTGAATTGTGATGCGCTGGGTGTCGCGCGCCCCTTCAACTCGCAAGGTCATCGAAGCTCCCGCACCCGGCCCCGGAGAGGTCTGAGCAACCAGCAAATCCCGAGGCCGAATCGGACGGCGTGTGCGTGCTCGGTTGTTTGTGGAAGTGGCATAAGTGGCACTGGCTCCAGAGAGCTAGGCATCGGATCCAAACTAGCAATTGGTATAACTGTATGGTGACTAGTGAGTAGTGAACACTCTGTATCCAGAAATGCACAGCCGCACCGCTACCTATCTCCTGCTTGCAAGTTCCAACTTTTGGAAGCATCGGGACGGCCGCAAGTTTTGATAAATCTTGCTCCCAGCATATGCGAGCTCGTGTGTCCTATAGCGACATGGAAGCCCGGCACAAGCTGTGGCAGAGGCATCTTCGGATGTTCGCATCATGTGGTTTTTGAAGCTTTAGTTGCTGGAGAGCTTAAAAAGGGCAAGGAGGCGCAGCACTTCAACTTGCGGACAAGTCTCAAGCCAGCCTCAACCTTGATAAGCCTTAAGCATTCCTTAAAGGTCCCTTGGGGGCTTGGTGACTCGGTGTTCATCTGAGGCTTTCTGCGGAGGCACTTTCATGGGACAGCGAATTTCGAGCCCTTCAGGAACCTCGATGGGCCCATTGCCTACGAAATCATAGCATCATAAATCGCGGAAGCGTAGCGGTGGCACAGCTCGTCATAGCTTTTTGAACTCTGAGGCCAAGCCACGCCCATGCAGTACGGCGTAACTGGGCCTGCGGGCTCTGACCGCCGAAGCTCCAGTGAAAGCGACGCCCTCAAGAAGTCGACAAATATGTATGTGTATACATATATAAATATAAATAAGTATATACATATATAATAAGGGGGACAGGATGGAGAAAAGCAACAAACATGGCTGCAAAGCGCAGGCAACACTGCGTCCTATACGGAGACGGCCGGCCGCAGATGGTCGCCATCCTCGCCAAATGGCCATGTTCCAAGCTTCCAAGCTGGTTGCGGCGGCACAGAGCATGATCTTGCACAAATTTTGTCATGAGGACAGCATCGAGCGTCCGCAGACAGTCTCCGTCTCAGCCTCTCGCAGAAGAGCGCTCTTGCATAACGCCTACCAGGAATCCAGCATTTTGGCAGCATCATGACTGTGGTGCAGCAGGTGCCGAGACCGGGGGCTTCGTCTTCTCCATGTTTGAGGAGAATGACCTCATCTCACCACAGGCTGGGGGTGCCATTCCACTTGGATGTTGCCCCTTGGACGTTGCTGTTGCCGCGTCGTGCCACATGTTTCTGACATGTCGAAGAAGGGTGTGAGCTTTATCCAGGTGTCACGCCTGCATGGCCGGACAATTCCGGAGGAAAAGCAGAGAGACTTTGATTGCAGTGTGGAGCAGTCGCTTTCAATATGAGGCAAAGAACAGAAAATGTGCGAGCATGTAGCGGGATGGCAGAGCCCTGAAGAACGGAGCTTGACAGTACGTCGTATAGCATGTCATCTGAAGTCGTGAATTTTTCAAGTCTCCACCAGGACATTCAGGGTTTAGGAGGGTTCGGGCTCAGGGGTTTTGGTTCAGAGCATCCAGCCAGTGCGTGGGTTCGCTTGAGCCTTGGTGACTTGGGTTGCCCGGTAGATTGAACAGGCCTGGTTGAAAAGTCCAGAGCTTCGTCCGGTTGCAAAGGGCCTATGAACCGAGGTACCTTTGATTTGGATGGTCGCAAGGCGAAGAATGGCAGCAACAAGGAAGCTTGGGCGCCAGGACAGCTTGACATGTCACGAGACATGCTGAGGTTCCGCTGGGATTGCAAAAAGGGTTCCCCTGTCCATCACAAGCCCTCTTGGTGATTCCGGGCGGTCCATGTCAGGATCGGCGCAGACCATGCAGCGTCGCGTCTCGGAGGATGCGCGCGACACTTTTTTTGTGTTCTCCGAGACTAAGTTCTGTGCTGCCCTGGGGTCTTGGAAGCTTTGCCTCAGGACCAGTGCGCACCACTGCCTCCTGCAGCATCGAAGGCCACAAGCAAGAGGCCACAGACCATTCGGAAGTCTCCGCTCCTTTGGACAGAGGACTGACCAGCCCACAGTGCTGTTTCTTTGGGCAGGGCGAACGCACAACACCGTAACAGATTCCTGTGTGCAAGGACGAAATTGCAGCGTTCCTGCCTCAGCTAAGGGCCGACATGCGGTGCAGTGCTCATGCACACCTCGCCAACTGGTGTGGATAATTCCGGATGTTGGTTCAGAGTTGTGTCGGTACCAAAACCGCACGATTTTTTCTCTGAGGTTCATGGGATGCTTGGGTCTCAGCACTGACATTTGTCAGCGCGTCATGGGCCGCAAGATCAAGGGAGCCTCCCAGCACCCAGCCGGCACTCGACCTCTTTCTGCTCTGCGATGTCTTCCACTTCTCCTCCCCTTCTAAAGTATTACTTTGTCCTTGAACTGTGTTCATAACTTTTATATTACTTTTGCTCCTTGTGCCACTGTGCTACTCGACTTCTTTCTCTACTTCTACTACATCTGCTACCTGATTTCTAGGTTACTTCGACCGGCATCGCTGTATCTTAGGCTTCTCAGTATGACAGATGCGCAGCTGCGGAAGTACTTGGGGCTGGTGACCCCGGTGGAGCGGCTGGTAGTCCGGCATGCGCTGAAGCGATCCTTGGTTAGGGTTTAGGGTTTAGGGTTTAGGGTTTAGGGTTTAGGGTTTAGGGTTTAGGGTTTAGGGTTTAGGGTTTAGGGTTTAGGGTTAGGCTTTAGGCTTTAGGGTTTAGGGTTTAGTTGGCTGTAATTGAGCGCAGAAGCTGTGAAGGTTTGGATGCAGACTAGCTTCGAAAGCTTCGTGGCTTCGTGAAATGCGAAGAGCAGTCATGGCAGACTAGCTTCGAAAGCTTCGTGGCTTCGTGAAATGCGAAGAGCAGCCATGGCCCGATTGTGGGGGGGCCATCTAGCACTTTATCCCTGGGCTATCTACGCAGCAACACCACCCTAACCTCTTCCTTCCAGGCTCTAAGCCTAAGCTCATTCCACTTGCCTGCTTCCAGAATACATCCTCCGTGCACGGGTCCCAAGGCGCGGGGCTTCAAGGCAGAACGTTTGGGGGGGAGTCCCAGGTTCCAGAAGCTTAGGCACCGGCCCCCCCCCCCCCCCCTGTAGCGAGTTTCGGATTTAGGCGCCGACTTCGGTAAAGCAGCTTTGTTGGGTCAGCGACGCGTTTCGTCCGGGCTCAATGGTGCAACAAACTTAAGGACTGCTCGATGCTGCTCGCTGGGAGAACAATGTATGTGGCCACAAAGGCATGGACATTCTTAGCAACTTGGCCAGTGGAAACATCATGTGCAAGCTTGCCTGTTCAAGCAGTGCACGACCCAGCGGCCTTGCACCGTTGTAGGGGCAAACGGGGGCTTTATTCGGGTCCTGCGCGGGTGTGTTTAAGCCCCTAAAAACGCTGCCCGTAGTGAAGAAGCTTGGGCCACCAAGGTGATTCTGTCCTCAGTCACTATCTCGTGCCGTGTGGCACTCGGAGAGTTCCCATGTGCCCCCTAGCCTTTGGACATCGCTGATGCCCAGGAAAGAGGAGCTGACACTGGTCTCAAGGATCTCGCAGGGCGGTTATGGAACTGTCTATCGCGGAGTTCTGGACACTCGTCCAGTTTAGTGTCCGGCAGACATGCTTGACTGACCTGGCGCTGCCATGTTTTCAGGTTTGGTGGATTGGACGAGCACACGAAATCACTCAGAATCTGTATCTACTGAGGAACCCAAAGTGGACCGTGCTGGTGGCACTTTTCAGGCCCGATACAGCTCAAAGCATCCCACAAGCACCCAAACCCTAAACCCTAAACCCTAAACCCTGAACAAAGAAACCCGAAACCGTAAACCCTAAACCGTTGCAAACCGTGGTCAGGCACGAAGAACACACCTTGTGGCGGTCAAGGACTTCTGGGGGGAAGCCTTTGGCTGTCGTCAGTTCCCTAATGCTGGTTTACGAACAGAGGGGGACCCCTAAATAGACCCCAGTAGTAGGATTCCTTTACAATAGCGACCCCAATAAGGTGCCCCAATCTCGGAAACCACCAAATAGTGCCTTTCTTTGCGAGGACATGAAAGGTGAGCGCCGTGTCCAACTGTACGAGCTTCTGAAGGAGGCTTGCGTCTGGCCCCCAGCTTCCGGAGGGTGTCTAACCCTTAGGGATACTTGGAAATGATTTTTAGTTTTTGGGCACACTTTGACTCCTAAGAAACAGTATTTTGTCTTTTGCTGGGGTTCCAAGTTCAGTAATGAAACCGTCTTCCAGCTCCTCACATGGCATGCGGTAGAGGCGAACATTCTTCGAGTTTCGGAGTTCACCTGGCGGGAACGAGGTCATGGCTTCTCTGAGCCATCCCAATATTTGCACCTTCGTGGGAGTCAGCATGGATCCGGAGAAGAAGCAGCTTCGCGGCAACCGGTGGGCTGAGGTGTGTTGTTTGGCATGAAAGCGAATGGTCGCCGTGCACTTCAGGAGACACTACATCATTTCCGAACTGATGGATTGCTTCTTGACGGCATGAGCGAACATTTTGGACAGCCAGTTCTGCTGAGCTTGAAACAGCTTATGGCATGCTTCGTGCAGGCTCGCTCTTCGACATGATTCACCAGCACCTCAGCAGTGGATTTGCCGCTTCAAGCTTTTCATGTTGCACACTGGGGGCTATCTTGCTGATGTATGCCGGAACTTGGCGACTCCGAGTGAGGCCTTACAAACTTCGTTGGCATGGGGAGTTGACGGTGGCTCTGTCCCTGAGCCTTGGGAGCCTGCAACTGCAAAGAGATGGATGGTACTTACAAAATCCTACAAATGAGCGTCGGGTTGATCAGGCGACTGTTGTTCTTGGAGTCTTTCCCGCCAGTTGCTTGCGTGCACTGTGTGCATGCGTGGTTAGCGCGCTTGTTTCAACACATGTTCCAGAACGGCAAGTCCGAAGCCAAGTCGCTAAGTCAGGCGCGCGGGGGTGGAACGGACCCATCGTGTGTCAGGAACAACCAGAAGGGAAGGCAGAAAAACAAACAGACGTGCAGTCAGGAATGCGGAATCCCGCTGAGACACCAATTTTTGTAAGTCGTGATTCCACTTGTGCGTTGTTGAACTTTACGACTGGCTGGTCATGTGGACGCGCCCTGACACGCTTGGTTAAGGACGGGCATCATCTCAGGCCTCGGCGGATACGTTGACTCTGCTAGAGATGTTTTGCGGACGATGTTTCTTGTGGCCCTGGCTTTGCACTCACAGCTGCCGTGCAGGAATTTGCTACATCCATCAGAAAAATCTTGTCCACGCTGATTTGAAGTCATCCAACATCTTGATTGATTACACCTCGTCGGGCACCTAGAAAGCATTCTGAAAGCGTCCAGTGCACACGTCTGGCGCGGGGCCTTGCTTGCCGAGGTCATCGCGACACCCAGTACCCCGTATTTGTGACTTTGGCCATGCAGCCGCAACCTGGCACATCTTCGTTACTCGTAGCTCTTCAAGTCATCGAAGCTTGAGACACGTTTGGAGCGTGCACGGATATGCACTCTGCACTCAGCCCCCGTTAAGAACGCACCTCAGGGCCCAAAAACCCAACGATCTGGTGAGGTCCGGTGCCACCCCTCGCCGCACCACCGCTGCGGCACGCCTCACTGGGCCAGCCCCGAGGTGCTGCGCAGCGAGGCCCTGGGCCCGGCCGCGGTGCCTGGGCGGCCATGACTATACTACTACTTGTAGATGACTAGGTTACTAGATGACTCGATTGCGATATTACTGCTATGTTAATTGCTAGGTTGCTGTAATTCTATGTTACTCAATCAGAGTGAGTGCTTCAGAGTGCCTCATGTTGATGCTTTTGTATGGCTCACTCAGGACATCTATTCTTTTGGGGTGCTTGGCCTCAGCTGTTCCCGAGTCGGCGAGTTTGGTACACTGCTGCCGAGTAAGGTAGCCAAAGTTAAGAAATGACAGCTTGGTCCCTGCTCCAACTCTTCAGGTGATGCTGTGGGACGCTCTGCTGCAAATTTTCGGCCCATTAGGCCTTCGGGTCCTTTGGGATCTAGGCTTGACACCCTCTCCTTGTGCGTCCCCCGGTCGGGCTGGAACAAGCCCCAGTTGGATCAAGCCAAGGAGATGCTGACACAGAAGCTCCCGCACAAGGACATGAGCTTCGGCCAGGTCCTGGCATCGGTAGGCGCATGCCCTTGGGTCGGGCTGAAGCTTTGGGCTCACTGCGAGTGTCTTGGGCATATCTTCTCCTTAACTCTTCGCAACAAGCATGTGCTGCTACTGGTTTTGCCACACGTGTGCTCAGCAATGGGTGCAACAGCTAGCATGGAGTTGAGCGAGCACCCGTGCCTGCCATGCTTGCGTTGAGCCGCAGCAGAGTCGCACATACCACTGACTTCACAAGATCCACCAGGCTGGGCGGGCAGCACTCCTGACATGGCTCAGCTGCCTGACCTCCCGAAGGAGGTTAGCCGGATCATCAAGGACCGACTGAGAGGGGTTGCCGAGATGGTCGTGGATCTTAACAAGGTTGCCATGCTTTCGTGCTGCATGGGCCTTCATCCCACATCCCACTGATGGGGGCCCCGGAACTTCAGGAAAGTGGGCGGGGTACATCCTAAACGAGTGCATATAAAATTATTTTACCTTCGACATCCCCACCTTGATCCTCGATAAAAAGAGATGACACATTGATTCAAATACGCTTTCTTAGTTCTTGCTTGCAACTGGGGTTGGGCACTCCAGGGAGTCTCTGGGGTTGGGCACTCCACAGGGACTCTCTGAGGTTGGGCATTTCAGGGAGTCCTAGGGGTTCGAAGAGGCCTGGATGCAAAAGGGAGTCCTAGGGGTTGGGCACTCCAGGGAGTCTCTGGGGTTGGGCATTCCAGAAGTCTCTTGGGGTTGGGCATTTCAGGTCCACGGATTCTCTCTGGGGTTGGGCACTCCAGGAATTCTCTAGGGGGGTCTTTGGGGTTGGGCACTCCAGGGTCTCTGGGGTTGGGCACTCCAGGCAGTCTCTAGAAGTAGACCGGGCGATGAGAAGAGTTCCGGGCGAGGAGAAGAGTTGAGTTTAAAATCTAAGAACCCCACACCGAAGGTGGGGAATAATGCGTTTCCGGGTGTTGCTTTTTTCCCGGCAAGTTTGATATCGCTTCAGGTGTCTGTGCACAATTGATGGGCCAGACAGAGCTTTCTTAAGAGTCTGCGTGCAAAAGAGACTGTAATCTAGAGGGGGGAGAAGCAGTGGCGTGGCAACAACAGGCAAAGGGAGCTCATGCGTGCAAACACTCATGTTTCCCGGAGTGCCCCTGCGGAATGCTTTTCTGGTCCCTGTCATGTATTTCTCAGGTGGTGGGACGAACATCATGTGCTTCTGATGGTATTTCTTGCGTTGGGGGGGGGGGGGGGGTTTGCATTTTTTGAGAGCTCACTTTTTCGGCGCTTGTTCGGTGGGGCGGTTGGTTGAGCCGGTCGATTTCTTTTGTTGATGTTTTTCGCTGCAGCAAGATGACGGCTCTAGCTCCTCGAATTTCTTCGTCGGAGAGGATCTCGTCAGCTCGTACAAGTTCCCGATCCCTTTTGCCCTAAACCTTAAACCCTAAACCCTAAACCCTAAACCCTAAACCCTAAACCCTAAACCCTAAACCCTAAACCCTAAACCCTAAACCCTAAACCCTAAACCCTAAACCCTAAACCCTAAACCCTAAACCCTAAACCCTAACCCTAAGCCCTCAAATGTGCTGCGGCCCAGGAGTGCTTGCGTTTCGCGCCGTCCGAGCGCCCCGTGGGAAAGGATGCGACATGGCAGCAGAGAAGATGCGGCTGGGTTGTGTGGTGAAGTGGCAAGAATGCTGAGATTCTTGGCCGAAAACCGTAGTGACAGCCCTTGGAAGCTTCTCCGTAAAGGCCACAAAAAAGTTTCCATTTTGAAGCTTCTTGTGGTTGAGGTGCTTTCCCGACTGAAGCGCTTCCCGAAGCAAGTTCGGGTGAAGACGCTGAGAATGCTCGCGGGCTTCCTGGGCTACCTGGGAGTGTCTGTCTGAAATCGCTTAAAAAAACCACCAAAAAAATCGCACATTTTCCTCCGAGCTTTACTTGGAGGGGGCAGTCAATTTGAAAGGGGGCCGCAGCGCTCCTCGCATGCTCCGCGACGGAGCGAGGTAGAACAGTAGACCATGACGATCATTCAAGGCCCCTTGAGGGCCTGCACCAGAAGCATGGCTTGGGATGTTCCCCCTTGTACTGACAGTCCTTAGTCGGGATTATCCTAAGGGGGTACTCTACTCCCTATTCAGGACTGTTAGTATAAGGGGGAACGTCCCAAAGCCTGGCGTAATACCGAGGCATGTGCTGAGGGTCCCCCCCCCTTCTCCTGAGAGTGTTTTTGCTCGATCCCTGCCGATCCTTGCTTTTGTTGGCAGTGCCAGTCGAATGGCGTGGTGCATGTCCAAGTGTGCCGTCTTCCAGGAGCTGCCCATCATGATGTGAAGGCCACCTAGATGGGGGTGAATGCCACAACCAGGATGTCATGGTGTAATGGATGCTCACAGGGGGCCTGTTGTAGGTTCAAGGGTTTCTGGATACAGGGAGGGTTCGTGCGGAGGAAACTCAAGCGTTTAGTCAGTTTAGTCAACTGAAGATGCTTCGATCTCCGGACTAGGGTGCTGCCTTCGCAGAGGGTGTGATATCTGCTCGGCGAATTTGCTACAAGAGCAATTGCACGCCTTTGATGAATACGTTGGGGAGTGCAGTGTTTGAGCCCGCTTCTCACTAGATTTGAACTTTCGCCATCCTAGAAGCCTGGAGGGCTTTCTGCCCGTGTGGAAGGCAGGCATTGGCTTCACTGACGCTCGGGTTGTACGAGCCTATGAAGGAACGGGTAGCTGACAGGCAGAATCAAGGCCATGCTGCTCAGTGCACACCCGTGCGTTGGTCATGACTTGCAGTCCAGGGTGCCGCGTTGCTGCACCACCAGCTCGTGAAAAGGTTCTGCTCATGCATGGTGGAGTGGTCGGACTGCAAGCCTAGGCTATTTTGTGGCAAAACTTTGCGCTAGCCTAATGTTAATTTAGGCGGGTGGGGGCGTCCCGTTTCTCTCGGCATCAGTCAGCCTACAACAGGACTCATATGGTCCCCCTTCATCACAAGCATTCGGGCTTACAGTACGCGGCGTCGTCGTCAAGCACAACAGCCTCCCATAACAGCTTTGGGACGAAGGGTTTTTGGCGTTTTGGCATTGAGGGTCGCTGCGCTGAGGGCCAGGCATTCTCAACGAGACGAGACTCGTACTGAAACTTTTGCCATGTGCAACAACTGCACTTCTCTGCCTTCAGGTGTAGACTGAGCCATGGAGCCTTGTGAGTCGAGCTCGGAAAGCGACGTTCAGGTGGCATCCGTGACAGCTGGGGTCGGGGTGTGCTGAGTGTTTACAGACAGTCGCCGTGGCACTGGCCGGCACGTATTTTTCAGCACGGGTGCTTAGTAGCATTTTTGTGGTTTTGGAGGCAAAGCATTTCCGCTTTACGGACGCGTGGCTGGTCTGCAACTGGAAGGCCTGGTTGCAAAGGAACCGAAGGGTTGGGAGCATCCCAGGCTGACGGAAGTCCCGAACGGCGATGCCGAGGCTGCTACAGAGCTTTGGAGCAGGATATTGGGAGTTAGGAGCCTGAGAGATACCTGAAGGGATGTTGCTGATTGCTGCTCATGTCTCTCTAAATCTCGTTCCTCTCTGTGTGGCTCGGACTGCCGAGGAGCTGCTGCTGGCAGACAGGAGGCTGACCTCCATTGACAGTTTGGAGTCATTCAAGAACCTGAAGAAGGTGGAGTTGCGAGGCAACTGCCTCACCTCCTTGGGCTGCGTGGCAGAATCGGTTTTTTTCGTTTTCAAGATCGTGCGCTGCTGATGATTCCTGTGCTGGTCTGAGGCTTCCTCGAGATGAGCCATAGTCTGTGTTGGCTCGGGCTGGCCAAGAACAGGCTTCGCAAGATCTCGGGCCTGGGAAACCTGTCCAGCTTGGCCGTGCTTGACCTCAGTGACAACCGAGTCTCCAGGCCGGGCCATGAAATGGCTCTGAAGAAGCCAGAGTTATGGTTTATGGTTTAGGGTTTAGGGTTTAGGGTTTCTTGGATTCTGGCTAGCCTTTCAGTCCAGTGGCAAAAAGGGTTTAGGGTTTAGGGTTTCGGGCGTGTTTGCAAAAGCCCGGTGCCAGGCTGGTTGGCCTGGAAGCCCTTCAGGGGCTGAAGGCACTCATAGCCACGCGCAATCGCATTGTCATCTTGGACGGCCTGAGCCCGAAGAAGAACCCCCTTCTGGAGACCTTGATCCTGTCGCACAATCAGATCGAGCAGTGTGCATTGGTAGGCTGGGTCGGAGCAAAGTTCGACAAGATGCCGTCAAACTTGTGATGATTTGATTGTGCTGTTCTTGTACAGTAGATGCTGCGCCTGCTCAAGGCTTCAAGAATCTGAAGAAGATCTCGCTGGCCCACAATCAGCTGCACGCATTTCCAACTCTCAAGAAATTGCCAGTGCTCAGCGAATTACGCCTCAATGGCAACAAGCTTCTTGCAATCTCTCCAGCAGCAGCTCAAAAGCAGCAAGTTAAGGGTAACTAACGCCACATCCTCCCACGGTTTATACGCCGACGTTTCCGCACACCTTTGTCAAACCGCTCTTGTCGAGGTGGCATCTTTGCCCCACTTGTCCACGCTGGATGTGGGCAACAACCTCATCAAGCAGGCATCAGGTTTTGACGCCTTACGAGGACCTTGTGACTCCTGGTGTCTGATGCTGCTGCAGCGCTGTCAGCAATCTCCAGACTCACTGTGAGGACTTCTCTGGCTAACCAACTTGAATGTCAGAGGCAACCTTTCAGAAGGACCGCAGCACAGCATTGGTAAACTCCGCGTGAGCACTCACAGTGGTGGCAAGGAGATGAGCTCCCAGATCAGGTCCGACAGATTGTGGCCAGCTTGCCTTTTGGCTGACGTAGTCCAATTTCCATGCAGCGGATGCAAAGAGGAGACAGGCAGCGAGAGAGCATCGAGAGAGCCATCATCTTGGGCTTTGAGGCAAAGACTGGAGATTTTGAATGGGAAGCGGCAGTCGGGCAAGGCACGGAAGAGACGCAGGCAGAACGACCGCGACGCACAACCCCGGCGAGCAGTGGGTCGGGCCAGAGGGCGAGGTGCGAGCGGCGGTCGCGGGTACGCCATGCACGGCACCGGAAGAGGGCGTGGGTCAGCCCACGAAGACTCTGATACAGTGCCTTGGCTGCATTGGAAGGGCTACCAGAGCTGTTGTGCAAGCTTGTTGCCTGAGGAGCTGAAACCATTGCGTGCTCGCGGACGAGGCGGCTCTTCTGTGGCCATGACCAAGTCTCATGGACAGGGACGCAGTGCAACGACAACCTCGAAGGTGCCAGGGCTTGTCTTCATGGGTCCGTGAGGGTTCGTCTGTGGAGGCAGTCGATGTCTGCGCGCCGTGTTTGCCAGGCAGACGAAGCAGCTGGTCGTTCCCCAGAGATGCCAGATGTTGCCGCAACGAAGAAAGGTAAGAAACGCATCCTCAAGAAGCGGCGACCGGGAAAACCCCGCCCTGCCTCCTGATTCTTATCGACCCGGAGCACTTTGGCGAACCATGGAACCCCTTCAAGGAGGTTCAGCCTTCGAAGGACGGCCAGGGGATGATGGCAGGTGACTCGAGCTTTGCGGCCTTTCGTCCACTGTCGCAGTTCGCTTCCCGCTTGGCCGGCATGAAATGCGGGAGTCGGGAGTATTCGGGACCACCAAGATCTCGATGAGACAACCAGGTGAGCGACCCCTGCATCGTGGTTCAGCATGGCCTCGGCATGCTCCAACATTCCCGTGCGGCACCTGGCGAATAGCTGGCCTCCAGGTGAAAAAGTCGCCAGGCCCTTCGTGCTGCGAACGCTTGAAGCCTTCTAAGCTTGAAGCGGCAAAAGGCCAATAGCCAACACGACGTTCATCCATAAGTTGCGATGTCACAAGACTAGAAGAAACCCATAAGAAACCCTAAGAAGCCCTGAGCAGTGCCCTCTCCCAGCCCTCGCAGCGCGTCCTCGACTTCCTCCGCCACGAGGGCGTCCTCGGACAGCGGGGCCCGCTTTTCGCCGCCGCCTTGGTTGCAGACCCTGAAATGTAGGACGCTTGCAGACGCCCAGTGGGTTATTTGAGGGCCCGGCCTGCGGGTTTTTAAATGGTTCACCATGTTGGAGGGCTGGAATGGTTTTGGGCGTCCCGGATTTTAGGGATGGAGGAAAGGCGATGGTCAAACCATGCCGGTCACCGATATTGTCTCAGGATGCATCAGGCTTCGAAGTCAGGTTTCCGACGTTCCGTGAGCTGGTGCGAAAAGGAAGGCATCTCGTCGCTGTTTGTTTGTTCAAAGCCCTGTCTCAACCATGAGGGGCAGGATGAAACTACCCTCCTGCTGCTCATAGCACAGATTCAGCTATGGCTTCTTGGTTTGCGACTTCTGCAGAGGACGACTGCGGCTGAAGCGTTTACATGGCGCATGGCTGCAAAGTGTTGTTTGCAGGAGATTCGACGTCAGCTGGAGCAGTTGGCAGGGGAATCTGGAGGCAAATTCACCTCGGAAGATGTTGGCCCGGGGCTCAGTTCCTGGCTCTGCATTGTGATGTTTAGACAGCTTTCCTGGTCGAGAGGCCTCGGAGCCCTTTTCGAGCATGGCCAGGCCTCACCCAAGTCCAGTTGTTGCATTGTGGGTGGTGGTGTTTAACCTAGGCTGTCTATGGATTCAGGGAGGGCTGGGGTGGAGGCATGACTGCGCCACGTTTTCAGCGCTTTGCCCTGTGCCTTTAAGCATGGCTGCTTGAGGTCAAAAGAGCCGCTACTAGCACAGCTTATTGCGCAGCTCTTCTTTCGGAAGCCAGGCAGTGCTTCGTGCCAGTGCAGACCGTGCAGCTGAGCAGGCTCGTCAACGAGTCATTACCTCCTGACGTCACCAGGTCGTTGAATAACGACTGAGCCCCGGAAATGTCGATTTGGTATGTCGTTTGGTGATGTTCAGCGCGGTTGGACTGGAATCGCGCATCTTGTGCAGTGGCGCCGGTGGGGTCTCTGCGGGAATCTCAATGAAACCTCTGATCTGCCAGGTGCAGCAGTCCGTGCAGCGTCTAGCCACGGAGGCAGACGAAGGAGCGACTGCCTGGAAGTGGCTGAGATGGGTTGAACATAGACAGTCCCGGCTTTCTGATGAGGGCGGCCTCAAGACCTTTAAGCTTTTTGCAGCCCTTTTGCAGGGCTGCAGACCGTGGGCGCAACCTTTGCGGCATCTGTGAGTGCCTGGTCTGGGCCGCGAGCACTTTGGCCAGAGAAGCTCCTTGAACCAGTGAGCGCTACACTAGCAAGATGCCCGACAGACCCACGGTTCCGCACTCGTCTCTTATTCCCGTCCGTTCCCACAATCAAAGTTTAAAGGATGCTACTCTGATCACCACTCCCCACATGAAAGCTCAGGCCGCAGAAGACCTGCACTCCAGTGACCTGATCAATCTCTACAGAAGCGAGGTGGAGACCTTCAGCAGCAGTCTTGGCCTCAGCATGAGCCACAGGCTGTTTGCTTCTCTGGGGGCACACCCATCTGCCGCCCATCCCAAGGCTATGTGCAGGGAGATGCCAGCGATGAGACGTCAAAGGCCTCTGCGATCGCGGCACAGACGCTCTCTCTGTGGAACCAGCGGTTGCAGGGTGACACAGACACTTGTCTCAAGAAAGCATTGGTCTCACCAACAGCAACATGAACACTGACTTAAAGGACCCAATGATGCTGAGCGAGGTCTGATGAAGCCAGTTTGCAGGAGGAGTTGGCAAGGGAACTAGTCCTTCGTGTACCTTACGAGTTCCGGGCCAAAAAAAGTGGTGACAGCCAAGGACTCTGAGGGCCAATGCCTGGCTGCTCCCGGCCTTCGGGGCTTGCTCGCGACTGAAGGTCTCCAGACAGTGCTGCGAGCATTGACCCGAGGCGGGGGGGGGGGAAGATCGGGGCAGCGCGGTCGGCCCTTCCGGTCGTTTGAGTCCTTTGCGTTGTGTGTTCTTTGAGCCCAGGCGGCGGCCGGCGGCGGCGGCCTCTACTTGGAAACTCGCCCCAGATCTGTCTTCTACACGGGGGGGTTTGGATGGCTGGGGTCATTCGGTGAAGTTCTTCGGAAGGTCCAAAGCCCAGAACTGCGAAGTCAGCTAGGCCGTGCTGCTGCCGTGGCTGCCGAGTGCGCGGCCGGCGCTGCGCCGGGGTCTCCGTCAGGGAGACTGTCGCGAAAGGCCAGCGATGAGGGCAAGGCGCGCCAGGGACGAAGCAGTGGGGCGTGCTCGAATCAAGTGATTTTGAGCTGCTTGTCGTTGTGGAGTCAAACAGTATGACACTATCTCCATGGTACACATGACGGCTCAGAAAGGTGCCACTCTGGCTCGAGACCCTTGTGGCACGACCGGTAGCGTACTTGCGTACTTGCAGCCTTTGGATTGTTGTTTCCAGGCGCGTGGCGGTTCCTGCTGGCAGAAGACCCGTGCTAGCAGATCCAGCCACTTTGTATCATGAGGAGAGCGTTGGGGGCGTGGTTGCTGTCTTCGTGGGCATGCCATCCCGCCCACGCCCTGGTGCAGACACATGAGCAGTTCCCAGTCATGCCGAAGTCATTGCAGCCCGAGAAGTCTTCCTCGGTTCTGCCTCCTGCCAACTTCAACACCAGCTCCGCTCAAGCCGACGGAACATGCGTACCACCATTTATGGCAGGCAACTCCATGTACCTTACGGCCTTGGGGTCCTCCATTACGGGCGGGCAGTGGGGCGCTTGGCAGCTGAGCGATGACCCAGAGTCACCTGCCACAGCGACATGGAAACTGGACTTCATGGCCCCTGACTGGCAAACGTCACGAATCTACAGTGACTCCGGGCACTTGTCGATTGTCGCCAAGCCAGTGAAGCAGGCTGACTTGGAGTCGGCATACGGCTGGGCTCCTTCGAAAGGCAGTGAGGGCTTCAGCGCCAAAGACTGGGACTTCATGACCGACTTGAGGGCGCCTGGCGTGGCCTTTGCGTATGACTCGATGAACTACTCAACGAACTCCACGCTCGCCAAGAGCCCGGGCGGCTATGTGCCGACCTTCACAGCTTCCCCGTCGCTGAAGGCTGCCACAATCGAGCCAGCCGAGTGGCAGCTTTGGGCGGTGACTGACTGCAAGGATGCCTTGGTCGCCGTGTTCAAGGTCGAAGTCACCGGTGGACAGCGCCCCGGGAGGATCATCCTGTATAACCAGGCTGGACAGATAGCTGCAGAGGTTCTGGCTGATCCTGTTGTTGCCCGCTACTTCTTCCTGGACGTCAACAAGCGACTTCTCGCCACAGCAGAATCACCTGCCTTGGGAGCTGGGATTCCGATGATGTCTGTGCCCAGGAGATCGAGCATGGGCAACATCCTGCCCTATGGAGTTCACTTCGAGCGAGGTGGCTACAACCTCTCTAGCAGTTTGCTGAAGCAGGAGCTCCGATGGATTATTGGTTCGGCTGTTCAAGTGCGTGCCCTACAAGATGCCCACACAGGCTTTGTCCCGCCCTTCATTAAAGACAGGTACCTGCTGCTCGCCATCGTGCTCGCGTTGATTCTGATCGTGGCAATCCTCGTCATTTCCGTCCTCACAGGCTCCTTGAGGACTGCATCTCGCATATTCTTCTACAGGGACAAGGCAAGTTCTGGCTTCTTCAACCCACCTGAGCGACAAGACGTGTAGCAGCATCTCCTGCGTGCAGCACCGCTGCAGTCTGCAGCCCTTTCCATGACAGACGGCTGGAACCAAGAAAGATTAGGTGAGCTCAGTATGAAACCTTGCAAGTTGCGGGAACCGGCCAAGTTGAGAGAAGGTGCAACCGCATGCGCCCGGTGCAAGAAAGCCCTGTGCACAGGCCCTAGATGCCAAGCTCTCCGAGGCGCAGACAGAGGCTGCTGTTGGGGAGCAGCTTGCGCGGTGCCGTGGCTTTTGTTTGAGATGCTGATGCTTGAGCTTCGATCAGGTTCGGCCGGTGCGCGTCATGATTTTCTGTTGAGAGTACAAGATTCCAGGGTTTGCTTGACAGGCCAGTTGTTTTACTGCAATCATCGTTGTTTTGTTCTGGCCCTGCCTCGACTTACTTTGACACCAAACTCAATACATGTTACAAGCTGACCTGGTGCAAGGCGAATGCAGGTCCCAGGCTGTATGGGCTTCGCGAAGAAGAGTTTCAATCTTATGCAATGTGCGCGCCCGAATATGCCCTCAGCCTCTGGTCAGAAGTGTACAGCATCAAGTCAATAACCTCTGGCCACCCCGGACCAGCTAGCTGGGAACGCCTTTTTTTTTTTTCCGAGCGAGCCAGCCTGCAGCTCGACCGAACACCCAAGTTAGTTGCTGTTGTGCTGTGGTCCGTTGCCATATCAAGTGTGCACACCAACCCCAAAGGCTGGTCCTGAGGGTGGCCGAGGCACCAGAGGCAGGCCGAGGGCTCCGGCGAACCGGAAGTGACGGTTTGGGGCTCGGGGTTTCGGGTTTTGGGCTTTGGGGCTGGGGGTTTGGGATTCTATGCAGACTCATCGAGATTTCTACAAGAGGCACAACATTTGGACTTGACCCGTGGTGGCAAGAACATGTTTGCTCCAAAGCCCTAGACTTGTTGTTGGCGTGAGTCGAAGCCTTAAACCCCAAACGCGCTAAGCCTCCTTGGGGCATTCGAGTCTCCAGGCGCTTGTCGCACAGCTGCTGGCACTGCTGGCGGAGGCTGCAGAGGCTGGAAGCTTTCCTCCCAGCGTAAGTGGGGTTTAGGGTTCAGGTTCAACCCTAAAAGGTTCAGGGTTAGATCTCTGGGCCGGGCCAGTTGCAAAGAGAAAGGTTGATCAACGTTCCTCCACGCAACGCTTGGCTAGCCTGATCAAACCCATGCAGCTCCTGAGTCACTGGGCCACTTCGACATAGGATGGTGCATTGCCTTGGTCTGTCGCTAGAACACCTCATGGTATGTGTCTCTATGTCTGTGTGTATGTATATGTATACATATATACATACATATACATATACATATACATACAGTATATATATATACATGTGTGTATGTATGTGTCTATGTATGTATGTACGTACGTAGGTATGTATGTATGCATGTACGCATGTACGTACGTATGTATGTATGTATGTATGTATGTATGTATGTATGTATGTATGTATGTATGTATGTATGTATGTATGTATGTATGTGTATATGTGTATATGCACATGTCTACCAGGATTGCATACATACGTACATACATGAAGGCCGCCGACCGCTGTGAGGGTGGCGAGTTGGCAGAGGAGAAGAACCCTGCCGAGGAGGTCGGGCACCATTGATTCGCTTGCACAGGCCTCTCCTTAAGCCGTTCTGTGTTGCTCCCTGTGTCTCACGTTGCTCGTTGTTCGGTCTTAAACTCGAGTTGTATTCAAGGATGTCCCTCTCCTTGAAACATACACTATCCAGAGAAGCTGTGGCACGCTACTGTGCAGGATGTATGCTGGGTTGTGAACTTGCTGCTTGCCACGCTCACAGAGACGCTTGGACTGGGCACAGCGTGTGAGAGATGGTCGATGATAGTTGAGCCTTCATCCGGGAGGATGCTCGGTGTAGGCGTCGTCGCAGCCAGCTTGCAGTCCAATCAGGCCAAAGGTTTGACCTCATGAGGAACCGCATTTCTTGGAAAACCTGGTTGCGGTGATGCTCTTTTCCTTCTCTTCACGATTGCCAGGTGAATTAGCGTTCTGTATATTTCTTTAATAATCGCATTCCTCTGACAAATCAGAAATCCGCACCCTTCTGGTGGACCGGCCGGACCTGCATCACATCATCTCTTGTCGATCTATTTGAAATACAAGCTTCCCTAGCGGTCCTAGCACATTGACTTCCAAGCTCTTGCAGCTGGGCGCTGGCGATGCCTTGGTTGCTTTCTGTTGCCCGTCCACTCCGAAGGCCTTGTGCCAAGTGGTTGTATCCCACTGGTCGCGCTGCTGGTCTTCCAGTCGGCAGAAGGGAGATCACATCAACGCTTTTATGTATCAGAGATCCGGTTCCTAAGGCCATCAACTCCAGTAAAACGGCAAAAGCTCCAGTGCTTAAATGCCTTTATACTATCTTTCTATACAACCTGGAAGCCCAAACACATGGGTAGTTTCAGGAAGATTCGCTGAACGCCAGGAGTCCGTGAGTCCTGAGCCCGAGAAGCCACGCAGCCCTTAAACCCTGAAAACACGCCCCCCCCCCCCCCCCCCAAGCCCTTCTCAGGCGAAAGGAGGCCGATGCCCTTGCTTCGCAGCGCCTGAAAGCGGCGCTGAAAGAAGCTTTGGAAGGCTTTTCCAAGGCGGGGGTGCCGCTGTAGTCTGGGTTGCTGCGGCGCTTCAGGATTTCAATGTCCTTCGAAGGATTTCAGGTTTCCGTCCCAAGTGCTGTAGAGTAGAGGACTCATAGAGGGTATAAGGACTGGGGTGCCCTGGGTGGGCCTTGCTTCAGGCTGAGAGCGAGGGCAAGCGCCTGCAGCACCCTACTGCGGCATGCAAAGCTGCGCCGTTTGCTGGCGGCGGACGGCCAGACATAGGCTGGCCTACTGACGTCATAGATGGGCAGTGGTGCCTGTGGTGTAGACTCAGTGTAGAATTCGTGCGTGCGAGGGACTGGCCGCTAGCCATTTTGAGTTCTCCGACGCTAGCCCCTCTCCGCATTCCCGGCCACCCGCCCACCATGGCACCGCAGATCGCCAAGCCGGAGATTTCTCAGGACAGCGAGATCTTCAAGACTCAGCCGTATGTGGATGGTGCCAAGGTCTTGATCGGCGGAGAGGTGAAGCCTTGGACCGGGCCTTGTGCAGAGGTCTTCTCACCTGTCTATTGCGCAGAGAGCAACCAGCGCATCTGCATCGGCCGCCAAGCCACTTTGTCCCCAAAGGAAGCGGTGCAGGCAGTGGAGGCAGCTGCCAAAGCCTGGGGCCGTGGCCGAGGAGAGTGGCCGCGCAAGACGCTGGAGCAGCGCGTGGCCGCCGTGGAGAAGCTCATGTGCAAGCTGAAAGAGCGCCGCACGGAGATCGTGTCCGTCCTGCAGTGGGAGATCTGCAAGAACGATGCTGATGCAGCCAAGGAGTTCGATCGCACAATGGACTTCATCGGCGCGCTGATTTCGGCGGCACGAGGCTTCGACTCTACCGGTGTCGTGTGCCACGAGGGTGTGCATGCGCTACTGAAGCGCTCTCCCATCGGGGTAATGATGAACCTCGGCCCCTCGAACTATCCATTCAACGAGACCTATGCCACGCTCATCCCAGCCATCCTCATGGGCGACTCTGTGGTGATGAAAGTGCCAAACACTGGCGGCCTGGCACACTTCCTCACCATGGAGGCCTACGCTGAATGCTTCCCTGCGGGCGTTGTCAACTTTGTGTCAGGCCGAGGGCGCGACACCATGCCTCCATGCATGGAGACGGGGCTTGTGGATGTCTTTGCGTTCATTGGCTCATCCAAGGCAGCAGATGCCCTCGTGAAGGCTCACCCTCAGCCGCACCGACTGAAGAACTTGCTGTCCCTCGACGCCAAGAACTTGGCCATCGTGATGCCAGACGCGGACCTCGATGTGGCGGTGAAGGAGTGCGTGGCGGGGAGCACCTCCTACAATGGCCAGCGCTGCACTGCCATCAAGCTCATCATGGTGCACAAGAGCATTGCTGAGAAGTTCAACGAGAAGTTCTGTGCTGCCATTTCAGGCTTGTCTGCTGGTCTCCCTTTTGGCAAGTGCAACATCACACCTTTGGCATCCAGCTCCACGGAGTACATGAAGACCCTAACAGATGACGCCACTTCCAAAGGCGCCAAGGTTCTGAACGAGGGCGGCGCGCACTTGGACCGGTCGCTCTTCTTCCCGGCCGTGGTGTATCCCGTCACGCAGGAGATGGAGCTCTGGCAAGCTGAGCAGTTTGGGCCCGTGATCCCCATCGCCCACTACGAGAGCATCGAGGAGCCCATGGCCTGGTTGGAGACGATGCACTTTGGGCAGCAGTCTGCGATCTTCACTTCCCAGGACGCCACGCACCCGGATGCCGAGCTTGCCGAGCTGCTGGATGTGTGTGCGCTGTCCACCTGCCGCGTGAACCTCAACTCGCAGTGCCAGCGAGGCCCGGATGTGTACCCCTTCGCTGGCCGGCGTTCCTCGGCCATGGGCACCATCTCCGTGGAGGAGGTGCTGCGGGCTGTGAGTGTGGAGACCATGGTGGCTGGGAAGAAGCCGGATCTGATCAAGAGGGCCTGTGTGGGTTCCACGGTCTTCGCCAACATCTAAGCTGCACGGCCTTCCGTAGCATTCTGAGCGGCGGAGCGCTCCTAATCTTGGATTTTTCGGTCTTTGGCTGTGAAGCTGCAGTGGGCGAAGGCAACTGCAGCTTGGGCCCCAGAGAATTCGACCTACATTTTCCCACCCGTGCATGAGGTCTTCCCAGGCGTGGCTCCTGGAGGCGCCCGGCGCTGATTTTTCATGTCGACTCGGCACACGCACCCGAGCTCGCCCTGCCAGAAGTGCAACATACAATCGCCTCGAAGCACATGCTTGAAGACACGAAATCTCAGCAGCTGTGTTATGTGCGGTCTCCCGGGCTCATGTAGGGCCACGTTGTGACACAACACGTCTTTCAGTCGTTCAAAGTCCTTCTGCCTGACCCGGTGATTTGTGGCAGGTGGCAATGTCTGGGCATGTTATCCCTTGGACGGGCATTGGTACCGCGCACAAGTTCGAGGGTTCGCGCCACGAGATCGTGTGCGTGTCGCTTGGTGCAGCCGTCCAGAGCATGATGGTAGTCAGGAATATGCGGCTCGGCTGCGAAGTTGCTTTGTGTGCTTCAGCCTGACGGGTCCCGTGCAGCAGCGTGTGTCACCTATATGAGGTGCACATGCGCGAGTCTGATGGTGACCTCTTCTCTGAGCTCAGCAGCTACTCAGTGATGCGAGTGGATGCAAGCATCCGGCGGCCTCCTCCCTCCCCGTTGGACCAGGCAGTGAGAAGAGAGATTCACGGATGCCATGCTAGTCCAAGTTTCTTGGATTTTGCCAGGTCCTGTCCGAGGCACTGTGGTGCCAGTCACTTCAGATTGTGGAAGACAACAGCCAGCTCTTTCGACGTCTCAGACACGTAGGCTGGTCATGCGGGTGCGGGGTTCGCACAGTGCTTGTTTGCTTGAAGTTGGCGAGAGAGATGGCGCAATTATGCCAGGAGGCGGAGCATGCAGTAGGTGATGAATGGACTGATTGACTCCTACCGCTTTTTGTGCGTGCAGTGCAAGTTTAGAGGCAAGCAGCTGGATGTCCACCTGGAGTGGAGCACCGCAGCGTCTGGTGGTGCAACGACGGCGGCCGAGGGTGAGACGGTCTGGCGGAGTTTCGGCTTCATGTAAGCACGCCCGCCGCGACAACGAACTAGCTTTCCAATCCTGCATACCTCTCGCCCCACAAACCTGTAGTTTGAGAGCACCACCGGAGTATCTGAATGCTGTAGGTTTTATACTAGTACCTCACGCTTCCTGAAGTTGTTGCCCAGCAGTGTGGCTGGTCTGCTTGGCGTGTGGCAAAACAAAGACGCATCGTTACATGCAAGCTGGAGAGACAAGGTATGTCCCGGAGGATGGCAATCACATCGACATCCGAGCTGTGCCTTCAATTTCAGGGAACAGGACGCCTGTCTCCAGATGCAGCTAGCAACAAGTGTGAATCCTCATGCTTGCAGAGTTTAGAGCAATATGCGCCAGGACGCACGAGCGCCTGGTGGCTGGCGAGGTATTCAGGGTATCGGAGACATTTGAGGGCTCGGATGGGACCTTGCATCTAGAGCTGCAGGAAGAGTTCCGCAGTAAGCAATCCTTGTACTGACAGCCGTGGAAGACGTTTTGCAGCCTGGCAGCCAAGGTACCTCAAGCTTGCTGATGGCAGGGGATGGGTCTTTGACAGCAAGGCCAGCCACTAGGAGCAGTGAGAAAAGACCAGGCACTCGGTGTTGCATGTCGTTTCCTCAGCTCCCCACAAACCCCCCCCCCTCCCCAGTTGGCAGCTGCAACCCTGAAGCCCAACCTGCCACACAGAAACGTGAGGCCGGCATCGGGACCCTGTGTGTTCGGTGCCAGAGTGATAGCGAGGCGCCGTTGCGTTGGGGGATGCTTTCTGGGTCTTCCAGGCTCTTCGGTCGGCTCTGAGTTGATGTGGGTTTGCAGGGCTGATGTAGGATGTCTTCTCAGCTTGGCTACCCTCCACACTCTGTTCCTCCATGTTCCACGTTCTTTCTGCTCCCGTCTTAAACGGTGGAGTGCTCGCCCAGCACGAGACACGACACCAAGCCGACTCTTCTTCAATTGCAGGAGCGAGTTCCTGAATGCTGGCGAACCTTCAAAAACGCTCAAGAATCGATCTGGAACGATGGCATCCTCAACCCCGAAAAAACCCAGCAAAACCCCAAAATCGATCCTACCCAGATCTTCCAAAACCCCTTAATTGAGGATTATACCCTGATTTATGCTAAGGATCCTTCTTGTGAATTAGGGCATACTCCTTAGCTAAGGGGTGTTGGAAGGGGGTTTTGGAAGACCTGGGTAGTGCGAGTAACCCTAAACCCGAAACCCTAAACCCTAAACCCTAAACCCTAAACCCTATGAATTGCCAAGAAGCCCTGTGCCAAGCGCAGGACGACTCTCAGTCCGACGAGCCAGGCTTGGGGTCCCAGCTGCGAGTTTGGCCCTGGCAATTCATAGGGTTTAGGGTTTAGGGTTTAGGGTTTAGGGTTTAGGGTTTCCCGGCCGACTCCCCAAGCCCGGATGCAAAAAGGGCTTAGGGTTTAGGGTTTAGGGTTTAGGGGAGCTATTTGGGATGTGTGGTTTGCAGAGTGCCAGGGTGTTTCGGTTTCAGGGTTGGTGCGTCCTGTTTAAAAAAGACCCCGACCCTCCCGAAGCCCTACATGTGCTCCTGTAGATTTTGAGCCTTGATCCTCGACTTGTCCATGCAGTGCTGCAGTAGTGCAAGGTAGGCTTTGTGGGCAAGAAGACGCTCTTGAGGAAGCTACGGTTTGAAAGTTTAAGGTTTCGTTTGTGTGTAGTCAGGGTGGATAGCTGGCATGGACCGGCGGACAAGGGTAGCCTCGCCCGGTTTTGGCCTTAATAACTCCTAGGTAGGATAAGGGGGGACCCTAAAGGGGAACCCTTCTTAACCCTCTTCTGAGGGTCTACATCCCCAAGGGTCCCCCAGATCCTATCCCCTTTTCGCCGGCCGAGGCCCATCTGAGCAACCGCTGAGCGGCACCGCGGAGACCCTGTCTGCCTGGCGCGTGGAGATCGAGGAAAGGGCCGAGTACCTGGGATCCTTTGCCTCGGAATGTGCCTCAGACAATCAGTCCAGGGTTAAGGGCTTGGGATTTGGGTTTAAGGGTTTAGGGTTTAGGGTAATCAGTCAAGGGTTAAGGGTTTGGGATTTGGGTTTCAGGGTTTTAAGGCGGTTTTTAGTTCAGCAATGATGTGCAGTTTCAGTTTCAGATAGACCTACCAACGGAACCCACATACTGGCCCCCAAGCCTGAGGTGTTGGGCAGATGTGGGAGGGGGTGACGAATGTGTGTTGGGAGGGTCGACACTGAGGCGAGGAGGAAGTGCAGACCTTTGAAGGGCAGATCGCGCGCCTTGGACTACAGGGGTTTTTAAGGGCTTATAAGGGCTTATAAGGGTTTATAAGGGTTTATAAGGGTATGGTTAGAAGGGTTTATAAGGGCTTGTCAGGGTTTATAAGGGTTTATAAGGGTTTATAAGGGCTGATAAGGGTTTGTAAGGGTATGGTTATACGGAAGAGTCCTGAAGTCCGTGGTCTGAGGTCGAGCACAGAGGCCATGAGAGCCGAGCTGGAGGCCGGGGAGTTGTCGTTTGATGTCAATAACCTCCTCGGATTATATATATATATATATGAGCCCGCCGCCTTTAGGGTCTATTTAGCTTTGGGTTTTTCTTATTGCTTTAAAAGAGCGAATATAAACATCGTAATACAAAAATACATATTTACACCTACATATGGCACGCAAATCTCATGCCCAGCGGTTCTAGGCCTAGCCGCACGCCATTACGAACTGCGAATTTCTGGTTATTCTTATTTTCATTTGTTTCTCTTTGCTGTCTGTGTATGCGTGTTCTTTTTTCAGCCTGCGTGAAAAAGTCGCTGTTTGGCTGCGGCAGAAGGGAAAGAGAAGTGAGAGAGGAGAGACAACAAGGAGGCCATTTTGATTTTCTGGAAGGGTATTGAAAAGAAAAGAAAAGACAAGAAACAAGGAGACGGATGGCACTCTTCTTTATCTATCATCTCTCCCTTCCTTGCCTCTCCCGTTTCCCTCTATAATTCAAAAGACAAGACTTTTTTTGGTCTTCGCAGATCTCTCTCCTCTTCAGGAAGCCCCCTTGCCCGTATTTTGCTTGCTTTCTGAAACGACAAGGAAAACAACACATAGAAAGAGAGGAAAGGGAATGAAACAATAGGCAGTGGAGCTCTTCAGTGTCTTTCCCTATCTCTTTTCTTCTTTTTCTTTTTCATTCAATAAGGAAAAGAAGCTTCCTTTTGTGTGTTTTTGAAATTCAAAGAGAACAGGAGACGGGAAGGGAGAGAGAAAGGAGAGAGGAGAGATCAAAAGGAATGCAATTTTAATGGGAAGAGCAATGAAAAGAATGGAAGAGAAATGAAGACAGGAGAGGGAGGTGCAAAATCAGGCTAAGAGAAGATGGTGCTCGTTTTCATCTTTCTTCTCTTGTTCTTTTCCCTGTCAAATAGAAAACAAAAGGAAGAACAATGAACATGCAAAGGAACCCGTTTTCTTTTTCCATTTGGGAACAAGGAAAGAACAGAGGCGATAGGGCGAGAGGAGGGATTTGCTGAAGCATGGGGAGGGTCTACGGACAAGGAGCCAACCCCGCTCACTTGCCCCATCCATTGAAACAGGAAAAGAAAGGAACAGGGCCTCCATTCCCCTCTTGTTCTTCCTTTCTTGTGTTTTTGTCATATCAAGGGGAACAGGAGAAGAGAAGGGAGAGAGAAGAAGAGAGGAGAGACAACAAGGATTGCATTTGTACTGGGAAGAGCAAAGAAAAAATAGAAGAGAGATGAATAAAGGAGAGGGAGAGACAAAATAAGGCGCAGAGAAGATGGCACTCTTCTTTATCTATCCTCTCCCCCTTATCTCTCCCTGCCCTCTTTCTTTTCGAAGTAAGAAAACAGAAAGGAAGAACTATGAGAAGGAGAAGGGGACGGAAAGGATAGGCCGATAGGAGGGGTATGATGAAGTATGGCAAGGTCCACGCGCCAGGAGTCACCCTCTGCTTGCCTTATCATACAAGTTCCTTTCTTGCGCTGTATCAGTTGAAAGGAAACAGAAGGAGAAAAGGGAAAGGGAAGTGAGAGAGGAGAGATGACTTGGACGGCATTTTTCTGGAAGCGCAACTGTACCGGAATGTGGCCACAACAAGCAAGCCAGGGAGGCTCAGGCGGGGCAACTGTAGCGGAATGTGGCCACAACAAGCAGGCCAGGGAGGCTCAGGCGGGGCAAGTCTCTCCCTAATTAGAAAAAAACCAATCTTGCTCTTCGCAGATAGATAAGTGCCCTTCTTCCACTTCAGGAAATCGCCTTTCCCAAATTTTGCTTTTTGAAGCGAATAAGAAAAACAACAGATAAGAAGAGAGGACAGGCAATGACTAGGTAAAGAGAGGGGCTCTTCAATTGTGCGTTACTTTTCCTTCTTGGGGGATGTCCTTTTTTTCTCCCTTGAAGATGCAGAAAACTATCAAAAGGAACACCCGTTCCATCGCCCATTTACTCTTCAATTCCCTTCCTTATCTCCTATGCTTTTTTCTTTAGTCATTGCAACAGGAGAAGACAGGAAAAGGGCCTCCATTCCCCTCTTGTTCTTCCTTTCTTGTGTTTTTGTCATATAAAGGGGAACAGGAGAAAGAGAAGGAGAGAGGAGCGATGAAAGGAACACACTTTTAATGGGAAGAGCCAAGAAAAGAATGGAAGAGAGATGAATAAAGGAGAGGGAGAGACAAAACAAGTTGCAAAGAAGATGGCGCTCTTCTTAATCCATCCCATCTCCCTTATCTCTCCCTTCCCTTTTTCTTTTCGAAATAAGAAAAACTAAGCAGGAAGAATTATGAAAAGGAGAAGGGTAAGGAAAAGAGCAGAAGAGATAGGCCGAAAAGAGTGATATGATGAAGTATGGCAAGGTCCACACGCAAGGAGTCACCCTCTGCTTACCCTCCCACTGCCCTTATCATACAAGTTCCTTTCTTGTGGTTTATCAGCTAAACGGAAACAGAAGGAGAGAAAGGAAAGAGAAGTGAGAGAGGAGAGACAACAAGGAGGTCATTTTAATTTTCTGGAAGGGTATTGAAAAGAAGAGAAAAGACAAGAAACAAGGAGACGGATGGCACTGATCTTTATCTATCATCTCTCCCTTGCTTGTCTTTCCCTTTTCCCTCTATAATGAAAAAAAAGGCGCCCTCTCTCGTCTTCAGGAACCCGTTCACTTTTTCCGTTTGGGAACAAGGAAAAGAACAGAGGCGATAGGGCGAGAGGAAGAATTTGCTGAAGCATGGGGAGGGTCTACGGGCAAGGAGCCAACCCCGCTCACTTGCCCCATCCATTGTGAAAAGAACAGGGCCTCCATTCCCCTCTTGTTCTTCCTTTCTTGCGTTTTTGTCATTTCAGGGGGAACAGGAGAAGAGAAGGGAAAGAGAAGGAGCGAGGAGAGATAAAAAGAACACAATTTTAATGGGAAGAGCCAAGAAAAGAATAGAAGAGAGATGAATAAAGGAGAGGGAGAGACAAAACAAGGCGCAAAGAAGATGGCACTCTTCTTTATCTATCCTCTCTCCCTTATCTCTGCAAGGAATAGAACAGACAGGAAGCAAGGAGACGGAGTGACAAAACTTGTCGCAAAGCTTTATATATCTCCCTTGTCTCTCCCTAATTAGAAAAAACCAATCTTGCTATTCACAGATAGATAGGCGCCCTTCTTCCTCTTCAGGAAATCGCCTTTCCTTTATTTGGCTTTTTGAAGCGAATAAGAAAAACAAGAGATAAGAAGAGAGGACAGGGAATGACTAGGTAAAGAGAGGAGCTCTTCAATTTTCCTCCCTATCTCTTATGTTACTTTTCCTCCTTGGGGGATGTCCTTTTTTCTCCCTTGAAGATGCAGAAAACTATCAAAAAGAACACCCGTTCCATCGCCCATATACTCTTCAATTCCCTTCCTTATCTCTTATGCTCTTTTCCTTATTCATTGCAAGAGGAGAAGACAGGAAAAGGGCCTCCATTCCCCTCTTGTTCTTCCTTTCTTGTGTTTTTGTCATATAAAGGGGAACAGGAGAAGAGAAGGGGAAGAGAAGGAGAGAGGAGCGATGAAAGGAAGACAATTTTAAGGGGAAGAGCCAAGAAAAGAATGGAAGAGAGATGAATAAAGGAGAGGGAGAGACAAAACAAGGCGCAAAGAAGATGGCACTCTTCTTTATCTATCCTCTCTCCCTTATCTCTGCAAGGAATAGAACAGACAGGAAGCAAGGAGACGGAGTGACAAAACTTGTCGCAAAGCTTTATATATCTCCCTTGTCTCTCCCTAATTAGAAAAAACCAATCTTGCTATTCACAGATAGATAGGTGCCCTTCTTCCTCTTCAGGAAATCGCCTTTCCCTTATTTGGCTTTTTGAAGCGAATAAGAAAAACAACAGATAAGAAGAGAGGACAGGGAATGACTAGGTAAAGAGAGTAGCTCTTCAATTTTCCTCCCTATCTCTTATGTTACTTTTCCTCCTTGGGGGATGTCCTTTTTCTCCCTTGAAGATGCAGAAAACTATCAAAAAGAACACCCGTTCCATCGCCCATTTACTCTTCAATTCCCTTCCTTATCTCCTATGCTCTTTTCCTTATTCATTGCAACAGGAGAAGACAGGAAAAGGGCCTCCATTCCCCTCTTGTTCTTCCTTTCTTGTGTTTTTGTCATATAAAGGGGAACAGGAGAAGAGAAGGGGAAGAGAAGGAGAGAGGAGCGATGAAAGGAACACAATTTTAAGGGGAAGAGCCAAGAAAAGAATGGAAGAGAGATGAATAAAGGAGAGGGAGAGACAAAACAAGTTGCAAAGAAGATGGCGCTCTTCTTAATCCATCCCCTCTCCCTTATCTCTCCCTTCCCTTTTTCTTTTCGAAATAAGAAAAACTAAGCAGGAAGAATTATGAAAAGGAGAAGGCTTTCTTGTGGTTTACAGCTAAACGGAAGCAGAAGGAGAGAAGGGAAAGAGAAGTGAGAGAGGAGAGACAACAAGGAGGTCATTTTAATTTTCTGGAAGGGTATTGAAAAGAAGAGAAAAGACAAGACACAAGGAGACGGATGGCACTCTTCTTTATCTATCATCTCTCCCTTGCTTGTCTTGCCCTTTTGCCTCTATAATGAAAAAAAGGCGCCCTCTCTCGTCTTCAGGAACCCGTTCACTTTTTCCGTTTGGGAACAAGGAAAAGAACAGAGGCGATAGGGCGAGAGGAAGAATTTGCTGAAGCATGGGGAGGGTCTACGGGCAAGGAGCCAACCCCGCTCACTTGCCCCATCCATTGTGAAAAGAACAGGGCCTCCATTCCCCTCTTGTTCTTCCTTTCTTGCGTTTTTGTCATTTAAGGGGGAACAGGAGAAGAGAAGGGAAAGACAAGGAGCGAGGAGAGATAAAAAGAACACAATTTTAATGGGAAGAGCCAAGAAAAGAATAGAAGATAGATGAATAAGGAGAGGGAGAGACAAAACAAGGCGCAAAGAAGATGGCACTCTTCTTTATCTATCCTCTCTCCCTTATCTCTGCAAGGAATAGAACAGACAGGAAGCAAG